GCATCCATTTCTCGAAAGGCCTGGACATGAATTGTGACAGGCGATTTTCCGGTACAATAAGATTCCAACATTCAAAAGCATGTACACATTGCCGAAGGACATGGTTGATATCTTCTGGTCCATGGCCACATAACTCGCACCTGCTGTCAGCTGTCATGTGTCTACGGGCTCGTTCCACATTAGTCAGTAGTTTGTTACTTAAGACAAGCCAGAGGAAGGATTTAACTCTTTGAGGCCCCGTCCATTTCCAAGCGAGATTCCAACGCATCTGTTCCACTTCCCATGTTGGTTCCATGACCAGCTTGTAGGCCGACTTGATCGTGAACCTCCCTTTGCCATCAAGACTCCAGAAAAGGCTATCAGGAACGTCTTCTTGGCCTGGGGGTCTTGTGCTCCGGATCTGGACTAAGACAGGGGCAGGCAGTATTGACTCAAAAGTAGGCCAGTCCCAGTCACCGTTGGAAGTCCTGAAGTGGCTAAGTGGTTTTTGCAATTCATTCTCTGTCAAGAGAGAAAAGGATAGATTCTTTAGTGGGCCTAGGTCTCCAACCCAGTTATCTGACCAGAATCTGATTCGGTTTCCATCACCAATTTTCCATTGTAATCCCAAATTCATCTCCTCCATAATTGATGCTATGTTACGCCAGAGATGAGATGTGTTCTTCTTCCTCATTTGTTGGTCGGGTCTGTTTGTCCAGGCGTACTTGTGTCTAAGGACTTGAACCCAAAGCAGGCCTGGTTGAGTAATAAGGCCATGGGCTAGCTTCATCAAAAAAGCCGAATTTTGTCCTTGAAGATCCTTTAGTCCACAACCCCCGCAGTTCTTTGGTTGACAGACCTGGGACCATTTGACTAGGTGTACACTCTTGTGTTGGTCTGAATCTCCCCAAACAAAGTTTCGAGTTAAGCTCTCCAGTTTTGAGCAGGTATTAGCTGGAAGTCTTGTGGTCTGCATGGCGTACATGGGAATGGTGTTCAAAACCGATTGTGCAAGTGTGATTCTCCCGGCCAAGGAAAGAGTTCTAGCTTTCCATCCTGACAGCTTGGCGTGAACGCGTTCTTCCAAGTAATGATAGGTGTCCTTTGTGACTCTGTGGTGAAGTATTGGAACGCCTAGATACTTTCCCAAGTTATCAGTTTTCTAGAAATTAAGCAAGCTGCAAATAGAATTGGCCACATGACGGCTGACATTCTTGGAGAAATGGATGCAAGTTTTGGCGGTGCTTATTTTGTGACCTGAGTACTGGCAGAAGCGATCTAAAGTTTGTTTTATCAAGGAAACTTGTGAGGGGGCAGTAGAACTAAACAGAACCAAGTCGTCTGCGAAGAATAGATGAGACAGAGCAGGGCCTCCTCTTCCCATCCGTATTGGCTGCCAGCTTCCTCTGCCAACTTCTTGGCAAATATTTTGAGACAAGCGTTCCATACACAAGACAAACAGATAAGGGGACAAGGGGTCTCCTTGACGAATCCCTCTTTGGGGGTAGAAGGATGTAGAGGCTTTACCATTCCACAGTACCTGCATAGAGGTGGTGGATATGCACTTCATAATAAGCCTTTGAAGCTTGATTGGAAACCGTGCTTCCTTTAAGGTATCTTCAATGAATCCCCAGTGAAGTCTATCGAAAGCCTTTTCGAGGTCCACTTTGATTGCCATCCAGCCCACTTTACCCGTTTTCTTCTTCATTGAATGTATCACTTCCTGGGCAATAATGATGTTATCTGTGATGGCTCTCCCTTTTATAAAGCTAGACTGGAAGGGCAGTGTGAGATGTGGCATAATTGGCTTAAGCCGATTAGCTATGATCTTTGTTATCAGCTTGTAGATTGTCGTACAGAGGCTAATTGGCCGGAAGTCTTTGAGAGTTTGAGGATTATCTACCTTTGGGATCAGGGCTATCTGAGTTCGGTTGAAAGCAGCATCTATCTCCCCCCCTTTGAAGATTGAGTATATCTCATTATACAGGGAGTCTCCCACAATCTCCCAATGGGTTTGGAAGAAGGAGGCGTGTAGGCCATCGGCTCCAGGCGATTTAAGGGGATGCATGTCGAAAAGGGCACACTTAGTTTCTGCTTTTGTTATAGGACAACTAAGGGATAGAATCATTGCTTCGGAAAGACAAGAGAACGAACCTGGGTAATTACTAGGCGAGGCCGGAGCTCGAGCATTAGCGTAGAGGTTTTTGAAATAATTCGTGGCCATCACGCAGAGCTGCTCTTGATCTGATTCCCAATCTCCCTCCTCGTTGCGAAGCATTATAATTCGGTTCCTCCTTCGTCGCATCAGCGCTTTAGTGTGGTAATAACTGGTGTTTCGATCGCCATCTTGGATCCATTTGCATCTTGCCTTTTGCATCCATAAATTTTCTTCATCTTGGCAGACTTTCTCATAGTCATGGATAAGTGAGCGTTCCAGATCAAGGTCCTGCCATGAAAAGGGTTGTCTTTCCAGAGCCTTTTGGACACCTGTGATACGCCTTCTTAAGTCCGCCTTACGTTTGCCGATGGAACCGTAGACTTCTATGTTCCATGCATGGGCCACTTTGGTAAAGCTCTCTATATTCTTCGCCAGACTTTGTTCATTCCTCCATGTATTTGAGACAAGGCTATGGAACCCTTCATGGGAGGCCCAGGACGCCAGATAATGAAAAGGTCTCTTGGTTTGTTGGCCCATATTCACTTGTTTAATGAGGACTGGTCGATGATCGCTGTGGATTTTAGGCAAGTGCAGCACCTGGGTATTGGGTTGGGCTTGGATCCATAAACCATTACTTAAGGCCCTATCTAGCCTTACCATGAGGTTCCCTCTTTGCCATGTAAACTTGGGCCCTACATATCCAAGATCAATTAGGCCTGATTTACTAATGAATTGTTTGAAACTCTTACAACCCGCCTGAGCATGCCGAGATCCACCCCAGCGTTCATTCATTGAAATAGTGGCATTAAAGTCCCCAGCAAGGATCCATGGACTGTGGACTCCTTCTGCTATTTGAAGGAGCTGCCTCCATAAGTTTTCACGTGGAATAGGGCGAGGACTCCCATAAACTGCGGTAAAGAGGATTGGCGGGGTCCCTGGCTCAGAGCTAACCGAGTGTGGATGAACTGATGGTGATTTTGTAGGACATCAACTGTTACACAATCCCTCCATAGTAACCATATTCCACCTGAGAATCCCTCAGCTTCGATTCTATGAGAATTTGGGTAGCCCGTTTTCTTTATAGCTAAATCGGCTTTCTTACCAGAAATTCTTGGTTCAACTAGAGCCACTACATTTGGCTTGTATCCCTGGAGAAGCGACCCCAGAGTTCGCTGGAACTTAGCCGAACCAGCGCCTTGGCAATTCCATATCATGAAGGATTTATTCATTTAGGCGAGGTGGAAAGTTAGTGCTCCATCTCGGAGTGATCTGAGGCGGTATCATCATCCAGGTTTATGTCAATCGCTTCAGCAAAAAGGGCGTCCTCATCAGGAGCAGTGGAAGGGTCCAAAGCTTCTGCCAAGGCCTTAGTTAATTTCTCGGATGGAGCCCCAATAGAATCCTTACACTTCGGTTTGAGGCTCTTGATCTGCACGGATTGCTGGATTTTAAAACCCCCTTTAGATGGGCTTATGTTAGGGGGCTTTGGGAATGAGTTCTCCTTCCCAGCCCGTTGCTGGTCGATGGGCCCATTGTGCGATGGCCCAGAACCAGAATGCCTAAGTTGCACTTGTTCTAGGACTGGCCGTGATTCTGACAGGGAGATGACAGTATTTTTGGCTGGATCAAGGCTTGTTGGGACGCGAGCTTCCTTGTAGGATGGGGCATCAAAAATTGTCTCTTTACTTGCCTGTACCTTCACTGGTGCTTTCTCTGTGGTTCGCTTTGTGGTTGTCTTTTCCTTCCAAACCGCTGATTTTTCTGCTTTCTCCTTCCATTGCCTCCTCTCTGTGTTGACATTCCCTTGACCCAAAATATTGTCTTCTCGTGTTATCTCATCTGTTTTCCTAGTTTGGTGATCACTTGCTTCATCCGAGGAATCCAGCACTTTGAACCTATTTCCCCCTATATCATTCCTGGGTTCAACGTTGTCAGGTAGCTTTCTGCTGTTTCTGCCATTGCGCCAGGCTCGAGATGGTACTTGCATCCACGAGCCAAAGGCTTGATCGTCACGCACCACTTTCTCACGCGCCGTGGAGGGTGAGGGTGTCGGAGCTCTGTAGTCTGGCTCATGTGTCATCTCCGACGAGAACAAAAATTCACTTTTAGAAAAGACCCTAAACCCTACAAGGGTCATTGTACCATGGACGCACCCACAAATTGGAAGCGCTTAGAATGGGCTTAGCCCTAAAACGACGTTTTCTGGTTTAGTAAAAGGATCCGATCGATTCAAATCCACAATTTGCCATGCTGAAATTGAAAACAAGAACCCTGCTGCTAACTAAGGACAACATTAGTTCAAGTATCGATTTCTAAATTAACTTTTTGTTAGACAAAAAGTTTTTTCCTTCAAATATAAGAAATGAATTTTTATAAGAGATGAGGCATCACCTCCCCCCCCTCCCACATGCAAATGTTCTTTATTTTACTATTCAACTGTATTACATTATCTATAATTAAGAAACAACTTACCCTTGAGAAATTTCTCAGAAAGAAATTTATCAATCAAAACTATCAAAGGATACAGCTTTTTTGACCAAGACAGACTCATTTTCATAGGATAAGAGCAATATATGTGAATATCTTTTGTTTTGTACAAAATATATAATTGAAGAGTTTCATTCTGTAGATATAGGTTGCGCATAGTATTAAGAGAGTGTTTGGGTGAAAATCATTTTTATTTCTATTTACATAAAGATACTTTTTTTAAAAGTATTTTTGGATTAATCCAAACATTCTCTAAATAAATTTTTGAATAATATATTCAGTAAATTTCCCAAATGCAAGTGACATTTTACTGTGAGAAATGGGGAGAATAACGGTGGGAGAGAATTTTGGGGTGATGTCCGCCTTTGGCCTCTCCCCCATCTGGAAGCAAACGGAATGGTGCATATGCCAAAGGTTATTACAAGACGGGTAGGTTTTTTCTTCTTCCTCAGTTTGGACGCACCGCGGACGGAGACAGACACTCACAATTGCACTCTACTATCTGTGCTAAATATTTGAGACCGAGACGGTGATTTTGGATAAGCAGTATGAATGTCACATTGAGTGATATATACTATTCCTGTATTTACAGCTCCTCCGTTTCGCCACCCATTTGCCCTCGTCATCAACTTCAGCGTCGTTTAATCTGCGTTCGGAACCCTAACCACCGTTTTCGCGCCAAATCCTCTCTCGTTATTGAGAAGCAGGAAGGCCAAGTTGTCTCCGACGAGAAAACTCCATCTCAGACCTTCTCGGAATCTGTTTCGCGCCGCCTCATTCTGCTTCGACATGCCGAGAGTTCCTGGGAAAATCGATCACTTCGGGGTATTTTTAGTTATGGGAGACTGTTGAACTCGTTGGGAAGTTTATGCTTTGATCCTTTTCTAAGGATTAAGCTGAACCTACGGATTCCAAAACTTTGTTTCTGGATATGGACTTGTGTTAGGGTGCTTGGCTAGGAAGCACCTGTGCTTCGAAATACAAGCCTTATGGAATCTGATTTATATATACATATATATATATAGTACTCGGACATTTGAAACTGCATTTATGTCCCATATATGTGCGGTACTTCTTTAATGCTTAACTTTAGGTAGCTGAAACACTCATTTTAGGATTGGAAGCTACATCGTATTGCTTTCAAGTAAAACAAGTAAAAATTTCAGCTCTGTTTCCTTTCCAAGTTTCGGGCTTTCCAAACTTGAAGTTTCACACTATAGTAACCAACACTTTTACCTGACAAAAATGACCGTTCAAGCTACATTTAAACATTACATCTTGTCCATGCCTCGGTTTCTGTACTAAGGCATGCATTTGTTAGAATCAATTCTTTTTAGGGACTTCAGTTTAGGAAGGGAGAACATTCCCGTTTTAGGATTGGAAGCAAATTAAGGTGGAGCAAGCAAGAATTTCTTGGACTTCTTGTCCCATGCTTTGGCTTTTCTGAGCTTAAATTCTCATACCATGTAGTACGGCTATGGTCATTTTGTTAAGGTGCTTGACGTTATGAAGTGGAACAATCTCATTACAGAATTGAAAACCAAAATGTTTTGCTTCTAAGTAGCACAACTGTTAGTTTCTGTTTGTCCATTTTTGAGCTTTGCTAAGCATAAAGTCTCAAACTTCAGTATGCATGTGAATGTTTTTGTGCTTAGGTCTGGCAGCCTACCCAGATCAAGATTTTGAAAGTATGATGCATTGCTTCTAAATAGAAAATCTACTTTTTACAGATCATGAACGGCCTCTGAGTAAATCTGGGCAGGTGGATGCCTTGAAAGTTTCTCGCAAGCTTCAACAATTGGGTTGGATTCCGGAACTTATCTTGTCTAGGTTAGGAATTTTATGGCAGTTCTTCTGTGATTGTTACTGGAAGTAACTGTAAAGAACTTTCTTGCCATAGCTTTTTTTTTTTTTAAGCTTTATATTGATTTCTCTGACGCAGCGATGCAGTACGAACTAAGGAGACCCTCAAGATAATGCAAGAACAAGTGCGTGAATTGTTAGAAGCTGAAGTTCATTTTGTTTCTAGTTTTTATTCAATTGCAGCCATGGATGGACAAACAGCAGAGCACCTACAAAAGGTTATTTGTAAATATTCAAGGGATGAAATACTTACTATAATGTGAGTATCTTTAACCATGCAACCTTTCCAGGGTAAATGTGAATTATTTTCCTTCTTCCGAAGGTGGAGATTACCAACTACAGCTACGGTAAAACAGATATCTCTTTTTTTTTTTTGGCCTGGCTGTATATGGACAAACTATGGACACAAAAAATGGTGGGGCTGTGATCATGCGTCAAGTGATTGATACTATTATCACTTATTTCTTATGATTCTTGTGATTGAGAAGTCATACATTGATGTTAACAGTCAATGGAAATTAAAAAAAATATTATATTTCCTTATGGACATTGCACTTGTTTTTATGACACCTGAAATGTCTATATGAGGTATTACTTTCAACGTTTTCAATACTGGATTGTACTCACTCTAAACCTTTGGTTGTAATCAAATTTGGTCTGCGTCTCATCCTAATTAGTTCCTTTTTGAGAAAGCTCAAGGCACCCAAACTTTTCTGAAGCTGGTCTTTTATGTTTTTAATTATTGTATTTATAATTAATATTGTGTTTTGCAGAGCTAATATCTTTAAACTTATTCTGGGAAAAAAAAAATCCTATTAATAGTATCATACACATTTGTTATCATTGGGTATATGGCAGGTGTATGGGACATAACAGGGGATGGGAGGAGGCGGCCTCAATGTTCTCTGGTTCCTCTGTAGAATTAAAGACATGTAACGCTGCACTACTCGAGGCTGCTGGGAAATCTTGGGATGAGGTTAGGTTACATTACTTACAAAGCGGCAGATAGTGATATGTTCTTCTGAGAGTAAATCACTGTATATAATCGTAATTATCTGTTAATTAGTGATATTTTGTTACAATATGCAAAGTTTATTTTTCAGAGAATGTAATGAAAAGGGATGACCCTTGCAAGGGTGTTCAAAGCCGATCCAAACTAAACTGAACCAACACGAACCGATCAAAACCAACCAGAAAGAAGGCTTGGCTTGGTTTTCAATTTCGCCAAACCGATTAATTTGGTTCTGGTTTCAGTTTTTACCCTTTGGAACCTGAAACAAACCGAATCAAGCTTGATTAGATTTAGTTACATTTTCTAAAATTCTAAATATCATTTCAAGCCCTATTTTAAAAGCCAAATCAGCCTCTCTTTTTTTTTTTTTGTCTGTACCCCTTTAAGATCAGTTAGCACATAAAGGAACATATTAAACCAGTGAAAATTAATTCATTAAATATGTGATCCTTTTTAGTTTAAAATTTTAATATGTTGCTATAAAGTGTTTGATTTTAAAAAATTTGAAAAATGAAAGAATATAGATTGTTGTATTTAAAAAAAAAAAAAAAGATTACATAATTGTATGCACATTCTTTAAGGTGTTAAAAAAATTTAAATAAGAAAAATTATACTTAAAAAAAATCATTTTAACATCATCCAAATCAATCCGAACCAAACCAAACCAAACTTGCCTTTGAACACCTCAAGATCCTTGTACATAATAAGAAAATATCAAGTGATGCTTCTCAAGTTTAGTGTGTTAGCATATACGTTTAATATTTATATATTTTTATTAGTCTTAGGCTCTTAAGGTAATCAGGGGTCATAATGGGGCTTGTCTTATTGGGTGATGGTAAGAACTAGATGGCAGTAGGAGGCAATTATAAATCTCGTAATTCATGATGAAATGATGCTCTTTTGGAGCTTATATTCTCTGGTTTGGACTTTAGTAACTGTAGCCTTTATGCACATTAAATATTGTGTCAGTGATATGGCATTAACATCTGGTTAAGTATCTGTCTCAGAAGCTGAACACTGAAGCAGCTCTTCTCCAATGGTACATATGTCATAAAAGAAGATCTTTTCTAGTCTAGGATTAAGTTAAGTGCATCTTGTAGTTAATTAAAATCTGTGTACAATTTTGCATCAACAGAACAGTTTTAATTTTGAGTGATAGTTGTGGAGTTAGTATATGGAAGCTTTTATAGAAATTGTTATCTATAAACACCAACAAGCCTTATCCCACTAAGTGGGGTCGGCTACATAAATTGCACGACGCCATTGTGCTCTATCAACAACTAAATCTTTAGATATGTTGTTGATCAGGAGATCTCATTCAATGATGTCATTGAACGTTCTTTTCAGTCTTCTTCTACCTTTTTTTATGAGACTCTATACTATCTGATCTATTCTTCTCACCAGCCTCCAATGGCCTTCTTTGCACATGCTCAAATCACTTCAAGTGATGTTCAGCTATTTTCTCTTCGATAAGCAGCATACCTACTTTTGCTCTGGTATTTTCATTTTGAACCTTATCTTTTTTTGTATGACTACACATCCATCTCAACATTCTCATTTTTGCTATCCCAACTTTATGCTACCCCAAATTGTTATCTATAAACGTGTCATAAATTTTGTTCTTAGTTGCTAAATTATTTGTCAGTTAGTTGTTAGCTTGCTTTGAGATCACCTTTGAATCTTGGGATTAAAATTCACCCACCCACCCACCCGTACGGACATTAGAACTACTACGTGGATAAGCTTATAAGCCATATTTTAAAACAAATTTAAACAATTCCAGAAGCTTACAGCATAGAGGGTTATATTTTTATCTTTGAAGCTCTATTACTCTAGAACTTCAACTCTACTATAACAGCCATCATCTTATCTCACTAAGTAGGGTTGGCTAGATGGATTGCATAATGCCCATGTGCTCTATTTGAAGCTAACTCTTCCATTAAACCATTATCTATGAGGTCTGGGTTGATGATTTCCTTAAATGCCATTTTTGGTCTCCCTCTATTTCTCTTCATAGGGCTAAAGGCTATCTGCTCATCCCTCCTTATTGGTGCCTCCAATGGCCTTTTTTGTAGATGATGAATGATTTCCTACCATTTTCTCCTCAATAGATGCAATGCTAACTTGTCCTCTTATACTATCATTACAGGTTTTATCTTTTCTTATATAATCACACATCCATCTAAACATTCTCATTTCTACCATCCCTATGGGTTGAATAAAATTTCCCTTCAAGCGTGGTAGAAACCTTGTGATAACAAAGAACTCCTAATGCCTTGATCTTATCTAGAACTTCAACTCAAGATCTTAAAATTGTTTCGTTAATGAAGCATTGATACCTAGCCACATACATTAACGAGCCTTTATCCCTGTGATGAACCTATTTGCATAGGGCTAGGTAATCGAAAGTGAGACATCCCTCTAAGCTTAGTGAGTACTTTGCAGTCACAAATGACTCTTGCTGCTTTCTTTCATTTCAACTACCTAGCTTGTTTGTATCCTATGCATAACATGCCCATCAATTTCGCCATTATCTTGTAATATTGATCCTATATACTTCAACTTTGACACTTGTGGTGTGGTATGGTCTGATGCCCAATTTATACCTTCATTTCAACCGCCCAGCTGGTATCTATCTTTCATAGAAAAATTAATTTTAAAGAGACTCAAGAAATCAATATGCTTGTGTTTGTCCCTGTTGGATACTCATCCAGAAAAAGAATGACCATGTTTACCTGCTAATGCTCTTACATCTTGATATTCAAAAAAAAAAAAAAAAAACAAGAAGAGGATATTTGGGTCATATGCTTTGTTATTATATATATATATATATATATATATATTCCAACCGATAATGCTGCATCGCATGCTCGTTTGATTCTTGGTCTACTTGCCTATTCCGTACCATTATCCATGGGCAAGTATTTCCATCAGCGCTTGACTAGTTTATGCAACAAGATGACTTAAAAAAAATCTTGTAGGATGAAATTTGGCGATGGTCGCCCTCCATTGTTGATGAAACAGTAATTCATAAGTGCATACGCATGAATAATAAATGAAGTTTGGGACTTGGGTTCGGCCTAGTGGTTGAGGTGCGCATGTGACGCATGGTAAGATGCAATATAAATCCTAGTCATTTCTTTTCATAAATACATACATACATTCAGTCACTGTTGTACAATGACATTGCCATGTAAAAAGAACATAAAAGAAAGGAGGTAATGAGAGGCTGAAAACCTTATTTTGATGAAATAATAAATTTCTTGCCTTATGTTGTGCACAAATAATTTGGCTTATATAGTTTAACATATTTTTTAGGGTACTTTTTATGGAAAAATAATAAAGTTACTGAGCATACTGGATAACGACTTCTTTGGATAGTAAATCATTGAATGGGATGTTTACGAGTAAGGATTCAATGACATGCGTGCATAAATACGTATGCCTTGTTGAACTTTCATAGTTTTGTATTATTGTCTATGTTTGGCAGCAAATGATGTTTGCTACAAAAAGGGGAAGTATTTATTAATCTTTCTTCAGTTGTTGTATTTACTTTATTATTTCTGGTGTCTCAAACATGATTCTTATCGAACATTTGATGTACAGGCATTTGCTTTGGCAGGATTTGGTGGGTGGAAGCTTCAGGGTGTAGTAAAACCGAGTAGCTAGGTGATCAAGAACTTCGGCGTGCTGGCTCATCTAAAGGAGATAAAAGGGGGGCCCCGGGTGAGGTGTGTCTTTTTGGTGGGACGACGAGGTGGATTGAAAGAGAAAGCCTTTTTAAACTGTTTCAAGAAACCAAAAAACTTCAGAAAACGGGTCCACAGAAATCAGTCAAACTTAGAATACGTACACACATGCTGGAGCGAAGGTTAGAAAATGAAGCTTGCTCATTCATTGGACCCATGTAATTTGGTAGCAAATGATTTGTGCCCATGGAGATCCCCGACGATGCATTTATGATGCATTAAGCACCTGTTTGGTAGGAAGGTTCAATTTTGATGGAAAGGAAGGGAAGGGGCAAAAAAAAAAAATCAGGCGGCTGATGTTTGGCATGCAATGAAAATGATTTGATGGGTATATTTATGTTTGGTAGGATGATTATGATGATGTAATGAGGAGTGAAGGGCAAATAACTTTAATGCCCTTAGTTTGAAATGATTAAAAATTGTTAGAATAATATATATGACTGTAGTTATTAGTGAAATCGTGTTTAGAAACTGTGTTTTCCAAAAGCTACACCCTATGTTTTCTGATCTTCCATGAAACTTGAAGGCTTCTCAACACCAAGGCCTGGGTTCAGTGTATTTTAATCAAGAGAAAATCATTTAAAAGAGTTTTGTGAGTCCAAATTATTAAACTATGAAAGAATGAATTGATGTGAAACGAAAAGTAGGGTATAACCGAGCACGTTTAAATCCAGATTGTGTAGAGTAAAATTCAAGTTTGGCACGTTACGGGACGCAGAAAACTCGTGTTTGTGAAGGGCGAAACCCAAGTTTTGCAGCCCAAGGGCAAATTTGCAATGCAAGACATCCTGAATACTTAGTTTTATGGGGACAATACAAAGATAAACATAAATTTCTCTATTTAACTCTAAATACCCAACTTAAGTTGATTCAAATTAATAAGAAGTTGACTTATAACTTAGGTTGCCGATGTGAGAATTGGTTCACAGTATTTTAATAAATACTCTTTTGAGTTTTAAATTGACTGTCGGGATTCAATTTATCTAAATTCATTTTGTATAAAAGAGAAAATTCTAAATAAGTTGACGACTTAGTTTTTAATACAATTAAGATTTATGTCAAAATTCTTTGTAATTTGAAATATATGATAGAAAGAATAAACCAATGTGAAGCATTTTTCTGCACAATTGCAAATTGAAGAACCAAATTTTGAAACTCCTGTCTCTTTCATATGAAAACATTTTTTTTATTGATATAGATGTCTTTCAAAATATTATTGAGTCTATTTTTACATAAAAATGAATTTGTAGTTTGGTGAGAAATGATGAGAATATTCATCAGATGTCAACGCTTATCGACATAAACATTTAATTTGTAAACAATCAATCAATAAAATATTTACTATCAAATTCAATCACTAGGAACCTTTTCAGTGCCACAGCCACTGAATGCACACTTTTTAGTTCACATTAAATTTTCTTAATATTTTCGGAGAAGCCAAAATGTATAATACTATAACATAGAAAGAAAAAAACCTGACAAAAAAGAAGCAGGAAAAAATTATAATCTTGGAGGATAATTGCAATAAATTGGCAAAGAAAATATTACTACCTCCGCTCTTTCATATAAAAGCTAATTGATTAATTTGAATAGATCAAAAAAAATTAGTTAAGTTAGTTATTTATAATAAATATTTGTTGTCTTTTTTAAGATATCTTTGCTAATCAAGTGTATTAGTTAGAACTACTATTATTACAAGAACTAACTTAAAAAAATGTATAAATATGGAAGACAAAACAGAATAAAGTTTTATATTTAGGATCAAATAAAAATCAAATGAGCTCTTATATTAGAGATCAGAGATAATATTTTGTTTTATTCACTCAGTTAATCTTTTCGAAATGTGATGTTTGCTTTTATTAAGTTGTTTAATTGATAAGCGGCATTTGTGATTCAATTATAGTGTCACGATCTCGCCAAAAAGGTTGGCGCACGATATTCAAATGAAATCTTTTTAATACTAGTAGTTCACATATGATGAAAGATGACGTGATATTTCTTGTTTTATATACTACCAATTTTGTCCTGAACTAGGAGCAACATACTTGGAAAATTTAATTAAAGCGCATGATGGAAGAATATACCTCGGTCCCTATCGAATGGTGGGAAATACAGGTTTTCTTTCTAGGTCAGCCTTTGTATGTGGGGAGGCGTATCGCTTATTGATGGAAAATGATGTGGAAAGAGAGGTGAAAAAGCTAAGAATAAGAATAGAAAAGCCAAGAATTTGGTTTGAGATTTTTAAAAAAAAAAACAAAAAAACTGTAGTACAGTTTAGCCATTGACAACAACAATTTTATTTATTCAAGGTTGTTGAAGCATTAATTTTTTAGAATCATTCCTCCTATCAATAACGTATGAATTAGTTAAGCAGTTGAATATAGTCTTACATGAAAAAATTTAATTCATTTTATTTTTTGTATTTATCATTTCTTCTCAAATTAATTTATTTAATTTATGAACTCATGTATTAAGGAGGTTATGTTATATTTGCTATAATTAACTAATTTATTTGATTTTGTTAATTTGTTAAGCTAACCTCAGGAAATGTTATTCTATTTCTTTGTGCTATCTAACTTGGTTACAATGAGATCATGTTTGCAGATTTTTTTTTTTTCATGGCATTTTATTTTTGACATTCTTTTGAGTATCATAAGGTCAGTTGACAAAAGTCATGCATCAATTCACGATATTTTTTTTAATTGGGGAGAATTATAATCAGATTCCAAGAAAAGGATTTAATTACCTTAAACTCCATTAACAAGTGAAGAATAAACAATGACAAATTTCAAAGGAAAAAATCACAACAGATTCTGCGATTCAAGAAAATTAGTTAAGTTAGTTATTTATAATAAATATGTGTTATCTTTTTTAAAATATCCTTACTAATTAAGTGTATTTACTAGAACTATCATTGTTATGATGATCATTTAAAAAAATCACATAAATATGAAACACGGGATAGAATCTTATATTTAGAATCAAAATAAAAGTGAACTATTATATTAAAAAGGAGAAGTAATATTTTGTTTTATTCACTTAGTTAATCTTTCGAAATGTGATGCTTGCTTTTATTACGTTGTTTAATTGATAAGTGGCATCTGTGATTCAATTATGGTGTCACAATCTCGCCAACAAGGTTGGTGCCCGATATTCAAAACAAATCTTTTTAATAGTTCACATATAATGAAAGATGAGGTGATATTTCTCGTTTCGTATACTGCTAATTTTGTCCTGAACTAGGAACAACGCATTTGGAAAATTTAATTAAAGTGCATGATGGAAGAATATACCTCAGTCCCTATCGACTAATGGCCTAATGGGAAAATACAGGTTTTCTTTCTAGGTCAGCCTTTGTGTGTATGGAGGCGTATGGCTTATTGATGGAAAAGGATGTGGAAAGAGAGATGAAAAAGGTAAGAATAAGAATAGAAAAGCCAAGAATTTGGTTTGAGATTTTAAACAAAAATTTTTTAGTACAATTTAGCTATTAACATCAACAGTTTTATTTATTTAAGATTGTTGAAGCATTAATTTTTTGGAATCATTCCTTCTCTCATTAACACGTGAATTAGTTAAGGAGTTGAATTTAGTCTTACATAATAAAAAAATTTAATTTACTTTGTTTTTTATATTTATTATTGCTTCTCATATTAATTTATCTAATTTATGAGCTCATATATATATAACCTAACATTATATAATGATATTTTGGGGAGAATAGGTTATATTTATTATAATTAACTAATTTATTTGATTTAGTTAATTTAATTAAACTAGTTAAGTAAAACACCCTACAAAATGTTATTTTATTTCTTTGTGCCATCTAATTTGGTTACAATGAAATCGATATTTTGTTTGTAGACTTTTTTTTTTTCAAGAAATTTTATTTTTGAGATTCTTTTGTGTATAATGAGTTCAATTGACAGAAATCATGTATCAATTCACCACATGCTTTTTTTAATTGGAGAGAATTGCAATCGGATCTTAAGAAAAGGATTTAATTAACTTAAAATCTATTGATAAGTGAAGAGTAAATAATAACAAGTTTCAGAATAAAAATAATAATAGATTCAGGCTAGTCACTTGCCATTGAAATTTTTTTGTAATCAAATTTCTTCTTTGAGACAACTTGGTAATTCTTCCTTTCTATTGGCTTCGAGCAAAAATTCGATACATGAAACATGATCATTTTATATAAATTATTATTATTGGCGTAATATATATAATATACGCTTTTAAATGTTCAAAATGATGTGATGATGTTGATAAAGTATGACGTGAATAATTAATCATAATCTAATCTGATACTCTGGATTTTGTTTTTGGACTGAGATACTCTGGATTGATCCCTACTTTTTGCCAAATAGATATTCCAAAAGGGTTCATTATTGTTTTGATTCTATGCCATATTTATTAGGTTTCATATATCTTTGCTTTTCATAACCACTTTTAGATATTTTTCACGCATAATTAAAGAACATTTCGAAAATATTAACTAAATTTAAGGAATAACAAGTCTTATGTAAATTACTCCTTCGGTCCTTAATATAAAACCCATTTAACTAATTTGATTAGATTAAGGAAGTTAGGTAAGTTAGTTAATTATAAGAAAAGTGACATATTTTTCTTAAAACACCATAATCATCTTTCTTAATACTTCTTTCCCTCTTCTACTTGATTATGGTTAAGAGAGTATCCATATGGGTAATTTAGAGAAAATTAATAAATATGAGAAATGAGTCTTATATTTAGAACCAAAACCAATTTAAGAATTGAATCCTATATTAAGGATCGGAGGAGTAATTTAGAATAAAAATAACACTACTTAGTTACTTAATGCAACAATTTACTAAGAACTAGTGAGTTTACCATTTTAGCTATGGGGCTTGGTATCCGATTTCGTAATTGGCCATTCCCTCTTTTTTTTTTTTTTTTTGAAGTTTAAATTTGTACTTTGTAATTAAATAGCCGCAATTCATCAATCATTAACATAATTTATAAACATTGTTCATTATTGATGATTTGTGAAAACAGAAAACCATCTAATGATGTGTAGGCTGAAGTTAATTTTGCAGGGAAATAGTTATCTTAGTATTCACTAATAATTTCACTTATTATCAATATATCAACCTAAAATGTGAAAAATGTCGAGAATTTTCAATCACGTCCGTCATTTTGGATACTTACAACGGGTCACTTTGACAGCTGAACTAATTCTTTAGCGAAATTAATTGTATTTTTAACTTTTTTTAATTAAAAATTGAATTTTTAACGTAAAGACAAACACTTCAAAAGAATACAAAATTGTATATTTCTGAGTCGAAAAGAAACAAATATTTTCACGAGGCCTATACAGGCTGAGAGAGACCTTTGAGAGAAAATTCCAGCTGGCTGCTTTCAGTTCTACTCGTCTTCATCGCTCTTCCCTTTCCTCGATTTCCATCCCCGACTCCGAATTCTCCTTCCTGTAACGGAAGAAGGAAGTAAAAAAAAGATAATAATAATAATTTTCCCACTTTCAATCTTCCAATTTTATCTTCTTCATCAGCATCTTTCTTCTTCTTCTTCACAAGTAGACCATTTTACTTTCTTTTGGTCTTAGCTCACTGACAACCGCCCCGCTCTTTCTGGTCCGGTAAAGTTCTCAACTTTTTTCTCCTCTCTCCCTTTTCCCGGCCTTTTCTTTCTCGTACCGCAAAGCCCAGAAGGCAAGCTCATACATACAAATCAATGTGGGAGTTTAGCTGTGGGATCTGACTTGGAATTTGGGGTTTTCAGTCTGCTCCGCATTTTCGCTTTCTAAACCTTTTGCCATTTTTAACTCTTTTTCTTACGTGTTTGGGACCCCTTCATGGAATTGACGCGCAGGAGGGGCCCAAGTTTTAAATTATTAACCTTGAGAAAGTTGCTGCAATAATGGTGCGGGGGTTTAAATTAAGCTTCTGTTTGGGTTAATGCCTCTGCTTACGGGGTTTTCTCTAGTTTTTCAAGATGCAATGTTTTGTATGCTTTTGAGGGCATTTGGATTTGCGAATGCTTTTGCTTATTGGGATTTTCCCCTCTCTTTCATATGATTACTTGGGGACCAGCATCTTTGTAAACTAGAAATCTTTTTGCACTGTGTTGCCTTTTCTGCTTTTGAATGCCATATCTCCCTTTTCTTAGCCAGTTGGTGTGGTTTCCTGCAGGAATTAATGAATTATTGACGTCCAGCATTCTAATTTTTGAATGAAAATCATTTGGAGCAGACTGTTTCCTACATCTGGAGGATTTGGGATCATTGAAGTGCTGCTCTTAGAGAACTTATATTTTTGAAGATGGTGAAGAATTGATTTTGATGTTCTCAGAGACTCCTCTCAACTCCGTGATCTCATGAGGAGTTACTCTGAACTACATGTAGAAGGAAGATGATTGAGCAATTCATCAACTTTGTAATTCGTCCCCCAAGGTATTATTTTTTGCCTTTTGGAAGTTCTCTCTAGACCTTGAACTTAGTTAATTGCGGCGAAAACTGCTTGGTTCGTATCATTCTTGTTACGGCCCACTTATTTTGCCACTGCCTGTTCCTTTCCTAATTTCTCTTAACGTGGGGTTGGGTGTGTGAAGTTTGAACAATGTAAGTTTCTTGTTATTAGAGTTTGACTGCATTTCTCTTTGCGCTGGATTGTGTTAGTCAGCAATTGTCTCAAGTCTCAAACCATCCTGGAAAACTTTTTTCTTTTTTCTTTTTAAAAAAAATCTTTCACTCTTTACGTCAAATACTGCTGTTTCTGAAATTTGGTTGTGATTCGATTAAAACAGGGAGCTAGCTGCCCTTGCATCACTCGCATAAGTTTTGGTTATCTCTCTTAAATAATTTTATATCTCAAGGTAATGTTTTTTGCCTTTGTACCTATACAGGGCAGAATACAACCCAGATCAGTACCTATGGGATAGAGAATTTTCTCTTGCAGGCAGAACATATCAAAGACAGGATTTAGAGGCAAGTATGGACATGATTTACCTGATGGTTTCATATTGTGATTGTTATCTATGAAATTTCAGCTATTCGTGATTCCAATTGTTTATTTACGGCTAGATTATAAATTTTTCTATCAAGCAGCTTAAGAATTCCAGGGGACATACCTTGCAATGTAGCCATTATCTCCCTTCACCTTTCCCTGAAGATTCTTCTCTTCCTTGTGTTATATACTGCCATGGGAACAGGTATATACAATTGTTACAGTCACTGTTATTGCGATCATGTGTGTGTATTGTGTAACTATTTTAATAATGGCATTACCGTTCCATTCTTGCCTTTGATGTACTGGCATATGTACTCTGATGCAGTGGATGTAGGGCAGATGCCAATGAAGCTGCTGTTATTCTGCTTCCATCAAATATTACTGTGTTTACTCTTGATTTCTCTGGATCAGGCTTATCTGATGGAGACTATGTTAGCCTTGGTTGGCATGAAGTATGTTCCCCCTTTTTGTCCCCATCTATTTTTGTAATTTACTTCAACTGTATAATCAAGCTTCTACATACTACTTCTTTCATAAATATAAATGTAAGGCTTTTCTTTTTTTTTTGTTTTTAATCATTTCCCCACTTTGCTTTTGGGAGAGGGGTTAATGTGATTATTAATTAATGTGTTCATTGTTTCTTCAATTAACAATCTATTTGGTTCTTAAGATTATGTGAAGCTAGTAAAATTTTATTCCCTTGTTTCCTTTGTGTGATAGAAAGATGATCTCAAGGTAGTCGTGTCGCATTTAAGAAGCAACAAACAAATATCAAATATCGGTCTCTGGGGAAGATCCATGGGTGCTGTTACCAGGTATTACATATTTGAGTTAATCTGTATGATTGTTTTGTTTATTTCTGTAAAGATTTCTCCTCTTTTGGTATTTTCTAGAGAAAAGGAATTCAATGGGTTATTTCGAAAATTCACCTAAGTTAGAATCAAAATGTTGTGACCTCTCTGTGCATGTGTGTGCGCCTTTGTGCAGAAGGAACAGTTTTAGGCATTCTCATTGAAAAATGTGAAGGAGGATAAGTGATTTAGCTCAATTTCATGGCTCAAAATGACTTTAAACTTGAAACTGTATACTGGGAATAAAAGTTTTCCTTATATGTATGTATTTATGAGCCTCTCGCAACTCATAAATAATATTTCTAATATGAGTATCTATTTACTTTGGTATGATGCAGCCTTCTTTTTGGAGCCGAAGACAATTCCATATCTGGAATGGTGTTGGATAGTGCCTTTTCAAACTTATATGATCTTATGATGGAGCTTGTGGATGTCTACAAGATCCGCCTCCCAAAGTTCACTGTAATCTCCCTCTTTCCTTAAGTCCATATGCATATGCTGCCTATGGGTTTAAGCAAATGCTTAAAGAAGAAATATGACTGGTTCCCTAAAAGATGCCATGCATTATTATGAACCTGAATCATATGATATCTGTACCTATTGGCACATCATTAATGTTGAGACGGATTTAATTATTTGTTGCTCAATTATTTCACTGATATAACTTAATCTATTGTTAATTAGCTGTAGAATGTTTGCTTTCAATGCCTCTGCTGGAGGTTTCTAGTTCTTTTTTGGGGGGTTTTATCTTATTCTCTTTTACTGCTTAGTACCAGGCATATCTGACTCCCAGCTTTACATTTACTCATTTCTGGACTTATTTCACTATATCTTTTTCAAATGATCTTTAAGGCTCTTTACTTAGTTTAACCTCCGTATGAAAGTTAGAAGATGTCATAGCCTCTAGTGGAAATTTAATGTATGACTTGCACTGAAGTTGCTATCTCCAATTGATGGACTAAGCAAGGTCCTTATTCTTCATAGACTGATATGATATGGCCCACCTGAGAATCATTGCCTGTTTATAGACATATGGTTTCTTATCCTAGGATGAAAAGAGCACATCCCAGGAAAGGGAGAAAGCAATTGATTTTCATTTGCTTTTTATTTAGCATCGACGTTTATTAATTTATTTTGGATTCATTTTTATTTGGGGATTTTCAGTCATGAAAATTGGGTATTTTATTTCTTTGGTTGGATTCTACTACTTGGGATTATCATGTGAGGTTATATATAAATATCTCATCTTTAGACAGACATTTGAAATGAATAAGTGAACTGATTGATGCTTTAGCCACAACCAAAATGTATGGTTGTAACATAAATTGAAAGCCAAAGAAAATCTCTTCTCTCCATTTCCTTTTTAGGGTAACAAGTACCTATGTTACATGTTGGTTGATAGTTATGAGTTTTCCCTTTACATCAAAAATTTAAGGATTTTTACGCACCACCAGCACTGATGTTCCTATCTATCAATTATATAAGGAATTTTTCCATGGACAAGGATTTAAATCGGATTCTTTATAATCTTGTCTCTCTCACAGTTTCGTGTGTATCTATACAATTTTCTCAAGCTCTCTTATTATCTTCTCTTTAATATGACTTACCTTTATGCCCTGCTCTGATTGAATGGACTGGGTTGGTTGCTTGAAATGGTTAGCATATAAAGTCTTTCATCCTTTTCTTTTTTCAGAACTTCGTATTCCTTTAAGTATTATAGTTCAAATTGTGTGAATACAGCATTTTTTTGGTACTCTTATTACTGCGGGTATTGTTTGGTTTGTGTGAAATTGAGTTTCAGCCCTTTTATATTGGTTGGATTTTGTCTATTGAGCTATATTGATCAAGACTTACAGCCCTTAATTTTTTAGTGTCTTCTGAACATTTTTCTCCTTGTTTTGTTTATTAAATTTTGTAAGTTTCTTGATATTGCCTGGATTTTAGGTTAAAATGGCTGTACAATACATGCGACGGGTTATTGAGAAGAAGGCGAAGTTTGATATTATGGACCTCAACTGTTTGCTGGTTTGTAAATTCCATATTTTCTTTTCTTTTCCTTTTCTCTTGCTTTTTAGATAGTAAAAACGATCATGGAAACTTTGTTACTTGCCTACATTTTTGCTTAGAAATGCATGCTGAATTTTGTATGTTTTCTGGCTAAATGAATCTTTCTGAAGTAGAATTATGTCCTGTCCATGTATTTTTCATATCAAAGTGTTTAAAACTTGCAGGTTGCACCCAAGACATCCATTCCTGTTTTAATTGGACATGCTAGTGATGACAAGTTCATTAAGCCTCATCACTCTGATCTCATCTTCAAATCCTATGCGGTATTATTTTGTACCTTCAAAATATCTTAAAAGAAGTTGGTGCTTTTTCCCGGTTTGATTCTGAAAAAGATACCTAAACAAGTGTGTATTTTTAGGGGGATAAAAATGTGATTAAATTTAATGGTGATCACAACTCTTCTCGACCACAGTCCTTCTATGATTCAGTGTCCAGTTTCTTCTTCAAAGTTCTCTGCCCACCTCAAGTTTCCAGTCGCTGGAGTGAACTGGAGAAATATTATGATCTGGGGGATTTAAACATTGGCTCTGGTGGCAACAAGGTAGCCTCTTGAGCGCGTCAACTTTGTTATTGATGTATAATTCTATATGCATGTTTGATTTTTAAAAGTAAAAGCTTTCCAAAACTAGAAAGTCACTTTTTAGAAGAAATTTTTGCTTCTACAAATGGTGCTGAGTCTAGTAGAAGGGGTTAATCTCTTATAATATGATGAACTAAAGTTTGAAAAGGAAGTGCTTCGAATCATTGCTATTTGACTTGTACCTATTCTAAGAAAGTCGAGGCATTTCAAATTGTTTGTTAACCAAACATGTTATAATGGAGGAATGACTTTTTAAAAGGACTCTTGGCATCTCAAAAGTGATAACATGCCCTTTGTTATGACCATTGCCACTGGTTGATTCAGATCATTGCACATATGATAAAAACATTAACCAAGTCGTCAATTTCTTTTTCCTCCGTTTTTGGTAGGACTTCTTGTCCTTGGCTCTTTTTATATTGCTTATCTCTTCAATAAATTCGTTTTCCCTTTTCTGTTAATTAAAAATATAAAATCAAATATCAACCAATTTATAAACACACGTCTTTCATCAATAGTCCCATCTTCACGGAGGGGAATGGCAAATACAATGGACTAATGGAGGTACACAAGCTACAGCTTGTTTAACCTGGATGTGAAGAAGGAAAAAACCTGCCTATTTTATGAAAAGTACTTTCTTTTTTTTCCATTCAGCTTTCTGTTGTGTTTGGCCAACTCATGAAGTGGCTTTTGAGCTAGTATAGAATGTATTTTTCTGTTTTGGGAAGGCAGTTCAAAATTAAAGCCTCTCCATTTAAGCAAATGCAGAAGGAGTGTGAGAATTTTTTTGACTTGAATATCCTCAATAATACAACAACAAGAAGCAGTCTTATCCCATTAGGTGGGGTCAGCTACATGAATTATACGACGCGATTATGTTTTATCAACAACCAAGTTTTTAGATATGTTGTTGACCAGAAGGTCTCATTTAATGACCTCATTGAGTGTTCTTCTTAGTCTTTTTCTGTTTTTTTTTTTATAGGACTCCAAACTGTCTGATCTACCATTCTCACCAACGCCCCCAATGGCCTTTTATGCACATGCCCAAACCACCTTAAGTAATGTTCACCTATTTTCTCTTTGACAGGCACCACACTTACTCTTGCTATGATATTTTCATTTCGAACCTTATCTTTTCTTGTATAACCATACATCTATCTCAACATCCTCATTTCTGCTATTTCAACTTTATGTTCTTGTTTGCCCTTTATCACCCAACATTCACTGTCATATAACATAGCTGGTCTTATACAAGTCTGTAGAATTTTCCCTTAAGCTTCTTAGATACCTTTTTATCGCAAATAACTCTGATAGCCTTCTTCCACTTTAACCAGCTAACTTATATTCTATGAGAAACGTCTCCATCAATTTCACCATCCTCATGTATAATGGATCTGAACTTTGACACTGGAAGAATGATCTGATCTCCTATCTTTACCTTCAAATCACCATTGCCTTCCCTCCCCCCAAAATTGCAATGCATATATTCTATTTTACTCCTGCTCAAGCAAAAAACTTTTCGACTCCAAGGTCCTTCTCTATAATTCCAATCTAAAATTAATCTCTTCTCTTGATTCAGCAATGAGGATTGTGTTATCTGCGAAAAGCATATACTTCAGGGATTTTTTTTTGAGTAAGCTCTGTTAGAACGTCTAGAACAATATTAAAGAAGTTCAACTTGTATGAATATCCTCAGTAATAAATTACAAAATCATTGTACATTATCTCTGCCCCCCCGGGGGGGCCAAGGTCATCATACCCTAGAGGTCCTTGGGCCTCTAAAATAAGTTCAGGTTGTCTGATTTGATTAACATTCATTATTGTCGTTGCCTTTGCCTTTCAAAGTTGAATTCACGTGATGGACACTGTTAATATGCCTTTAGTGTTATGATTCTGAATTTTTATTTCGATATTATCATGTTTCAATTTTTCCTTGTGTGATTGCTAGAGCATACTGTATGAGATCATTTCTACCCTGCGGTCTGCTGCTAGTGGCGTGGCCAGTTCATCATCTGCTCCTCCATGCATTTCAACCATAAAGTCTGTTAATGAACTTCTTTCTGAAGTTGCAACGGAGACATCTGTTGAAGTATCCTGCTTTCCTCTTCTTCATGTTATTTCCTCCATTGACTGTCTTATGCTAGGCTAACTTAAGTTTGTATTGCAAGGAGACTTTGCATGACAGTGATGAAGCTGGCCGAGATGAGCCTTCACATATACAGGTGATCCCGCAAATACCATCTTTGGATCAGAAAATTTCTAGCTTCAGTTATAATGATAGTACTGATTGCTAATTCCTGCGTTAAGCATGTATCAATTCTATTATTGCACAAGTATCGCAAATAAGGCAATTTTTTTCCAAATATAGAATTATACAACAACTATACTACAAACCTATATATATATATATATAGAGAGAGAGAGAGAGAGAGAGATTCCACATTCAAATTGTGTAGGCACACCCACAATTTATCCAATATGTACTCAAATTATTTGTTTAAAGTGAAAAAAACTATGATACTTGTTTTGGAGTATGCAAGAGTACCGGTACCAGGTTTGTTCGAACCTGGTACTGTTACAACATGAATGTAACAGTACCTGTATTCTGTAGTTCTCACCAAATAGTTCCTGGCTACAACTACAGAGAGAGTTGATATTATGTTGGCATTGCATCACTGGAAATTTGCTTTATTGGTTTTACAGGACACGCTAAATGGTCCCACTGAAGAATGTTGTTCATTTACTAGCTCAAACAGAGAAAGTTGGGGCAGATGTTCATCTTTAGGGGGCAGTGATGAAGAATCTTATGCAGATTTCAATGCTGACAATAGTTGCTCTCAGGTCTCCCTCCTTTCCCTCTCTAATACTTTGCACAAATTTGAACCCGGATCCCATCATGTGAAGACGTCAAATAACTCTTATTGGAATTGTGTTCACTCTTTATTCGTAGTTAAAAACATGTTAGTGGTTTAAAAGATGTCCTATCAGACAACAGATAAGATCACCAATTACGACAGTGAAAATATGCGGGCTAATTGGGTAAAATGGTGAGAAATTAATGGTTCGACTTGTCATAAGATGATTTGTGTGGTATCCATTTATGCGACTCATTAGCTTTTGCATGAAAATCGGTGAAATGCGATTATAATTATTGTGTCGCGGTATCCTTTTATGTGATGATCAAAATGCCACAAATAAATGCACTTGAGCTAATCTTTCAAGTCTAGTTTCCAAGCATGTGAATCTAACACTTGTATCAACTATGCTATCATATTTAAAATTGCATTTAAATGTTATGTGCTGTCGTATCTAATTCACCTATTGACAAGTTTGGTTTCATGTGCTTTTTGGTTGCCAGAATATCGTGGATGTGCTTGCTACACCTCTGCGAAGCTTGAAAGAGAAATGTTCAGATCTTACTGAAGAAAATGAAGAGATAGGAAAGAAAGAGGAAGAGAAGAAGAAGAAGAAGAAGAAGAAGAAGGCGGAGAAGAAAAAGAAAAAGAAAGGTGAAAGTACAGACCCAAAAGCACCTAAAACTGACAAATTTGACAAATTGGAAGCTCTCGGCAGACGCATCCGGTTTTGCATCCTAAGGGGAGCAATCCACCGGAGGCGAAGCTCCTCTTGAATTTAACTTGTGTCACCCTTGGATTCTCTCTATCTTAGGCAGAAAAATGAGGTCGTTTTGAGCAAATCTTAGTCATCAAGTTGATTTGAATGGTCTGAATCTATTAAGGTAGCCACTTGAAGAAAAAACAAATTTGGAACGTTCAGATTGAATGAACGGCTAGATTTTGTTCAAAATGTTTCATTTCTCTACTTAAAATTGGGAGAATCCATACAACTTAACTGCACTGTTTGTAATTGCATCATGCTTTCTTAAAGGCCATTGCTTTTAAATATTTTAGGGCTTCTGTAATTCCTATCCTTCTGTTGTATGTGCCTTAGGATTTAGGATTTAGTTATGGAAGCAAGTCATTTCTTGGCCAATCGCATAGTCATTGTTGGGCTTGAATGACACCATTTTTGGGAAAAATACCAAATCACACAACCGGCAAACAAAAGAACAAAGCACTCAACAAAACCAAAACCAGAAAGTAGAAGAACGGAGCATTCAAATCAGCCGACACTACTGGGTAGCCGAACCATAGTGATCTCTTTTCAAAGGAATGGTAAAAGGATGGTTCTAGGTGCATTCCCTTGGCGGCTCTGACTGTGGGCCTCGTGTGATTTGTGGAATGGAAGAAAACAAGATAACTCTCTAAATGTGAAGTGTCTCTTGATATAGATATTTCATATTTGGATTGTTGTGCGAAGGGATTATTAACTCCACAAACATAGAACAGTACATAACTGCTACCTCTTTTTTTTTCCCAATAAGATCTAGTTAACTAAATGCATGGCTTAAGAAATCTGCTAATAATAGTTAAAAGCAATAAATATATAAGAAGTGTATTTTTTTCCCCCTAAATATACCCTTATTCATAAGATAATACGTGAAAAAAAATTATACAATTAATTAGAAGTAAAATTAGTAAAAATATACTTAATGTTCAAATTACTCCAAACTAAAACTAATAGGGGTTAGGTTAATAGCAAGGACTAGTCCTCACAACATGATAAACCAATATTTGAATTTCTGTTGAGAGAAGTATCAACATTTAGTGTTTGATAATACTTCAAATAAAATTGCCTTCAATAAGATGATATTTATGCATAACCCAAAAAACAAATTCAAACTAGATCTTATGAAGAAAGATAGGAGGAGTAATTCAAAAATTTGGATAGAAAGATCGAAGGGAAGTAACTACTCAATCCACCTCAACAGCAGATGTCCATCTCTCTCGAGTGCTTTCGTTGGAGCATGAATTTCAGTGCTGAAAGGCTGAAAGCTGAGTCCACGGATCAACATCTCCTCCTGAAAGTGAACCTTCTGAGCCCAGCCCATGTAAATCTTGGTGGTGATGGACCGACTTGTCTGAGCTGCTAAGCCTGTTTTGGTTCTCACGCCAGCCGTATTGAATTTCTTTCGTCTCTGTTGACTTGGGCCGAATGAAGGAGAAAGAAGAACGTAGAATATGTAGCCACAACACAATTGGAGCAACCGCTATTGGCGCTTAGAAATTGAACGAAACGCACAGAAGCAACGGCTCCCTATCCGATGCGCAAGTTCTGCTATACATCCTCCTTGACCTTAACTCGCCGTGCATCTCCGAATCGCAGGTTTCTTCTCTTCTTCCCTTTGAATAATTCCCTCTCGTTTTCATCATCTTCGTCTTCATCTTCTTCCCTTGTTCCTACCCATGAACATGTTTCTCATCTTATACTGGAGCAAAAATCAGCCTCCCAGGCTCTGGAAACTTTCAAATGGGCTGCTACACTTCCTCACTTCACCCACTCGCAATCCACTTACCGTGCCTTGATTCATAAGCTCTGTACTTTCCGTCGTTTCGATACCGTCAAGCAACTGCTCGATGAAATGCCTCACTCAGTTGGTTCTCCCCCTGGTGATGATATATTCATCACCATAATTCGTGGCCTCGGGCGTGCAAGGATGATCCGGCAGCTCATTAAAGTAGTTGATTTGGTTTACAAGTTCCATAGCAAACCATCATTGAAGATTTTCAATTCAATATTGGATGTTCTCGTTAAGGAGGATATTGACATAGCTAGGGAGTTTTATCGGAAGAATATGATGGAAAGTGGTGTTGAAGGTGATTATTATACTTTCGGTATTTTAATGAAAGGACTTTGCTTCACCAATAGAATTGGTGAGTGTTTTAAGCTATTGCAGTTGATGAAGTCTCAAGGAATTATACCAAACACCGTGATTTACAACACATTGCTCTATGCGCTTTGCAGGAATGGGAAAGTTGGGAGAGCTAGAAGCTTGATGACTGAAATGGAGGAGCCCAATGATGTAACATATAACATACTGATCTCGGGGTATTGTAAAGAAGAGAATCTTGTTCAAGCTCTTGTGCTACTAGAGCAGAGCTTTGGTATGGGTTTTGTGCCTGATGTTGTTACAATAACTAAGGTTGTAGAAATTCTGTGCAATGTAGGGCGTGTAACTGAGGCTGTCGAGGCTTTAGAGAGAGTTGAGAGCATGGGAGGTCCAGTGGATGTAGTGGCCTATAACACTCTAATAAAGGGCTTTTGTAAGGTAGGAAAACCAAAAGTTGGGCTTCATTTCTTGAAGCAGATGGAGAATAAAGGTGTCCTTCCAAATGTAGACACCTATAATATTCTGATATCTGGCTTTTGTGAGTCTAGGATGTTAGATATGGCTTTCAATCTTTTTAATGACATGAAAACAGATGGGTTAAAATGGAACTTCATTACTTTTGACACGATGATTAGAGGGTTGTGTTCAGAAGGAAGATTTGAAGATGGTATCATGATTTTGGAACTAATGGAAGACAGCAAAGAGGGCTCTAAAGGGCGTATCAGTCCCTATAACAGCATAATATATGGTCTATTTAAGCAGAATCTTTTAAATGAGGCGTTTGAGTTTTTAAGAATGATGGAGAAGTTGTTTCCTAGGGCCGTTGATAGAAGCTTGGAGATTTTTAGATGCTGCAAGGAGAGGGCCATTGAAGATGCAAAGAAGGTCTATGACCAAATGATTAGAGAAGGTGGAATTCCAAGTATTCTCGTTCTTGACTGCCTTGTTCATGGATTTTCCAAAGAAGGTCGTGTACGCGAAGCAGTCGAGTTGATGAATGAAATGATTGCTAATAATTGCTTTCCAGTGCCATCCACAGTCAATGCTATCATCAATGGGTTTTGTAGACAGGGAAAAGCTGATATTGCCCTGAAGTTCATGGAGGACATTGTTTCAAGAGGATTTATGCCAGACAGAGAAACTTATGTTCTTCTGATTGATGTCTTCTGCAAGAAGGGGGAACTTCAGAAAGCCTTGCCCCTCCTGATAGAAATGATAGATAAGGGCATTATTCCTGATCATTTCATATGGAATTGTTTGCTACTTTGCATTAGTCAAGAAAAATATTTCAAGGATCAGAATCTTCTCAATTTAGATAACCTTTGACGGCAGATTTTGGAGACTTGGATTTGTTTCCACTGATATATTCACCCCTACTATTGTAGTATTTGATTGCAATATCCTTAGACTATAGATGAAACCAATTACAATCATATTTGATTGACCAAAGAAGTCGTGGCTCATTGCCTCGTCAAACGCTTCTGTGCAAATGAGCATGAATATATAAATAAAAATGGAGCATTGTTAAGATGAACCTTCCTGGTATAGTCCATTGTAAATAGGACCTGAGTTTCACGTTAAAAATATACTTCTCTGGTGTTTAATATAAGACATATTTAAGTACTTTGACTAGATTAAAAAAGTAAGGTAAATTAGTTAATTATAATAAATATGACATGTTTTTCTTAAATACCATGATCATTTTTCTTAATATCTTTCCTCTTTGATTATTATTAAGTGAGTATCAATAAGGATAATTTAAAAAAATTGATAAATATGATAAATAGAAAGTCCTATATTAAGGACCGGAGGAATATGTATTTAACATTGCTGTTGACCACATCTCCACAAGGAAACTAATGTCTTGTCTATTTTGTAGGGAGGATTTTGGAAAAATTAAATGAGGTCTCAAAGAAAGAAAATAATTACAAAACAAGTCCTAAAAATTGCCATTTCCTAATCCAAAACTTGTTATCATAGACTGTTTAGGTTATTATTAAGACTTTTTAATAATTATTTTTCTTTCTTAAAACCTCATTATAATTCTTCCTGGGATTTTCGTAGGCAGCAAATAATAATTATTATCCACTATTTGGTCCCAAAAAAAATTTATGCGGTGTGATTGGAGGGGGTGTAACAGTTCGTGGGTTTTATGGCGTGGCACAGGGGCACGCGCAAGGAGAAAAGATGGTTAATATGAAAGCAGAAGTAAAATAATGGTGTTCAGTTTACATGTTAAACATTCAATGTATTGTTACCTTCCCTCAGCAATAATGAACATCAGCATCATTTATATTCGTGCGGTTATAATAGCTTCTCGATATGAGCCTTATTTACGATTCAATTATAAAGTGAATAATCAATAGTCCTGTGTCAAAAAGGAAAAAATCTTCTAAGCGTATCGTTGACTAAAATAAGGAATCTCTGCAACGCAGAGCAGTATACTTCTCTGCGCTTGACAAACGAAGAGACCAAAAATAAGCGGCCAGCATTCAAATGATACAGTGATGAACAAGCGTAAGGAACAGATAACAAGATAGTAAAATCAACCCAATTTACATGATGTCCCTGAATGTAATTTAAACGTGGAAATTTAGCTGTTTAAACCTAATGACGTTAGGAACCTATGACGAAAAGGCTCTTTGATCTACTAAGAAGTACATTCGCCCATCTAACCTTAAATGATGATATATAGTCCTAATTCACAAGCTAAATATTACGCTCAATCACAGATTGCCCCCGCCAACCTTATCCAGTTCCTCATTACTTCTAGTAGGTATTCCTAGTGAAGGATCATACTGCTCATGGGTAGGAAACACTCTGCTTAATGGCTGAATTGATGACATGCTCGACTCAAGTATATGATGTGGAAGCACCATTTCAGGTTTAGAATATGCTCCTTCCATGCTCACCCGTTGTTTTTTTGTCATTCTCTTCTCTCTTGGGCTGTTGGTAGGGGAACCAGCATGGCAGCCAGAATCCGGCGTTAATGGTTCGTTGTGAGATGACAAGGATTCGTCAATTGAAAGACTCTTAGCCGGAGCATATTCTTTAGTGGCTTTTTCCTGAAGCGGGCACTCAGATGTAGGGGCAGGGGTTGACGGGTCATTCCTATTGTCAGGGTCTTGGCAGGTGTCACCTGGCTCTGAGGTTGCATCCCCAGAGCCAGGTGCTTGGGAAAGAACGCCACTGAGCCGCTGTTGCTCTTCAATTATCTTCTTCAAGTATTTACCCTGGGCTTCAATCCGAAGTTGTAGCTGTCTCTGAACCTGTTCACATAAAACATCGGAAAATTACAAGCTTAGCATCTTAGCCCATGATATAGTTATTTTAGGTTTAAAGCATCTTAACCCATTATTCTTCTTTAATCTATCTGTTTTCCTTCTCATGATTGAAAGCAGAGAAACCTTTAGGGCTTTTGGATACATTTATGATTTGATGGTTGGGGTGTTTGGCACCTAATTACCGACACCAGTTCAATCCAACACAGAGGGGATATCCTTTTTGACTTCCATGGAAACTAATTGCCTATGCTATGTCTGTGTCTGTCTCAGTGTCCATGCCTAATTTACACGCAGTTTGGCTTGGTCCTACTACAACAGTTTATCTTTCACATTTTCTTCAGTGGCTAAGACACTACTGACTCAACTAAAACCATGAGTAAATATTCACACTTTGGGTGATAAAACAAAGAGAAGAGACTATATCAGAATTTGTCTAATCGAAACCAATTCAGCAAATGCCAAGACTCCGAAAGAGAGGACTTTACCTTATGTTCTGATTAAATTCAATAGGATTGAATTGAAAGTATCACAACCCAAAATTTGCCAAGAGAAATAAACAAATCAGCCAGTACAAGAAAAACTTGCCTCTAATTGCTCATGTAATCGCTTCTGCACCTCCATTTGCAGCTTTAGTGTCTCAGTAATATGCATCCCTCTAGAAATAGATAAGCCCACTTGTAAGTTTCTAACTTATCCCGCCAGACCTCATGAAACAACCAAGATATTAGTGTTATTTAAGTCCTTGTTGCTTCTTTTGTTTATTTTCCAGTGTATAAGAAAAACCAAAGTATTAAAATACAAAAGTACATGCTTCCCCCAAAAACTTTTGGTAGCACTAAACGTATAGAAATAACTCTCACTTTTAATATGGCAATAACAGGCTTAAGTTTGACTCCACTATGAAAAAGCAAATCAAATGGATGATGCTAAGCTGAACGTGTACTGATAACAAGTAATATTTTTTTATGGTAAGCTTTTCACATAGAAGTACAGGCTGTCTTCATTCATGCATCAACCTGTTTGCTGTTTGAGTATGAGAATCAAAAGCAAAGAGTAGCCATACTCACGATGAACCATCTAGATTGGAAAGCATATCCCCTGTTTCTTTCTTGTCAGCTTTTTTCCCTACCATTAACAAAATAAAAAGGTATCACCAACATTCTACAATAATATGATCAGAAAGCTTAGAGCTTGAAAGTAATCAGGCCAAATGGGCTTATAACAAACCATCAAAATGCTGTGAAAATAATTAACATTTGAAACCAGAACCAGGGTTGGATAGACCTACCATCAGATGAGGAGTCAGGGAGGTATTTAGCAAGACGATATTTCTGGATGCATTACACAACCCGAGTGAACAAAAAATTACTGACACAGCATAACCGTAATAGAAATCAGCATTAAAATTCGCATTACCTGCAGATGGCTTTTGACGTGATATATTGTTAAGCCATGTACACCCATCACTCTGAGGACACCTTTAGGTGTGGCACCTGAGAATAAGTTATTAGAAATCCAATTTTAGCACGTGGTATGTAATTTCATGCAAGGATCTTCATCCAACGTTTTGGAGATCCAGCTAACAGATTTGATAGACATGCTCATCCAATAAACTTTTGTGAAAAGAGCTTCTCATTCTCACACACGAGAACATGGACAGAGAGAAGAAAATAAAGCATGAATAGATGCTAACAGCTACCAAATATCCAGTAATGAATGTAAATTGGTAGCATCAAGACACTTGAGTTCCAACAGGTGCAAAACAATAGAGTTGGCATTCTATTATGTAAACACATCTCATATTAGGTGGGACAACAACAAGAAGAAACCCTTCCCACTCTCTAGGTAAATAAATATAGGTTAGGAAACTCACGATCAGGCCCACCAAGCTGTGCCACAGCATCAACAAAGCGTTCATGCAGCTCATGTGTCCAGCGTAGCCGTTGCTTTGAGCTCAGATTGGAATTGTTGGTTAGACTGTTCCCTCCGTTGATTGGGTCCATTGTACTGCCACCACGATCAAATTGCTGACCATGTACCAGTGAGTTGCTTCCAAGTAGACTTAAACTAGGAACACTGTTTGGCTGATACATTTGTCATTTATCTGACAAATAAAATATAAGTGAAATAAAGCATGTGAATTATTGTTAACATTTGAAACTTCGCTACATATGGAAAAGAGTAGGTTGATGAAATATTTGGGATCATACGTCCACACAAAGTAGACTCAATCTTGAAACAATTGATCAGGCTTCATTTTATATATGACTTTGTTTGATTTCAAACATAGGCTTCAATACCACAAGCCAGATTGATGATCAGCTCGACACCTGAACTGAGACTATACGTATAATGGTGGAGACTCAATATAAGAATAACTTCAAGAGCCACTTAGGATTTCTCTCATCTAATAAATGCATATTGTCTTTCAACTTTTCAAGTCAACAAAGATGTGATGAGTACCTTTATCAGCCACCAGCTGCCAACCCGAATCATGTAATTTACACGTTCAATCAATACATGACATTATAAGAAACTAAAATACTTGGTACATCATTTAGAACCCGTCAACAACCACTTAGATGACCCGAAAGCATATAATTCTGAGTAGACTTGGACTCATACACTCAGATGTAGAATGAGACATTTTTCTATGATCAAGGACAACTGCTAAAAAATTATAAACCTACATTCTAAGAAGTAGACCCAACAAAATGTAATTCTGTCTGGTAACGCCAATTTTCCATCTACCGCAGAAGTTACAGCAACATCATTAACCTAAGTGACTAAATCAAGGAAAATATCAAGCAGGAGACTTAGATCTAAGCAGAATGAGGTCCTTTTGATTCAGTTCTTTTATTAGACAACAATCATTTCAATGATCAAGATGGACTATTTGAGGTTGCTAGTCACTGTGATTCCTTGGTTGGATTCTGTCGGCTGTCATGAAATGATCATCTCATACTTCACAGAAATGCTAAAGGGATTGCATTGCCACAGTATTACCAAATAGTAAGACCAAACGATGAGACCCTCAGAAAGTTCAAATAATATATGTGCAGGCATGATAAGATATGAGATTATCTTTGATCATAAGCAGAGAATGATAGAGACTAGGATTGCATGAAATGCCTAATCCCATGTTAAGTAGCATAGAAGAAATAGAAGAACCGTCATTTTCAAAAGCTAGGAGAATTTGTTGAAGAGAGCAACTAATGCACGTTGCAAGGAAGGCATCAAAGCTGACAAAGTTTCATCACGTAAATAACTCCGAATCAAAAAAAACAAACCCAAAAGTGAAGTTTCGATATCCAAACGTGAAGAATTATACAACTGATAGCCGACACGACCGAAACTCACGATAACATAAAAACCAAACAATTGGTTAGGGTTTTGATTAAAAAGATTAGGACACCGAGAAAGTTTGAAAATTTTCCATCGCCCATAGACGGAGAGAAGCGCCAGATTAAAAAGCACCAGGCATACAAAATTTAAAAACAAGAAATGTGAAATGCGGAGGTCAAATCCAAAATGGAGAAAAAAAATCCAAAATCAAAACCAGCTTGAGGAGGTAAAGAAAGAGAGAGGAACACACAAAACACGAATTTAAAGAAGAAACAGCCGAAGGGTGAAACAAAATGCAGAAGCCGCAGCTAGAGAAAGAAGCAGAGAAATGATTGAAAATCGAAGAAATAAGGAAGAAAAAGAAAAAAGCTCCAAAGGCGTACGTACCAGATCTAGGAAATCCAAGACAGAAAATATTGCACACTTGCTCCTTCAAATTCGGAGGACTGATGTGGGTGAGCGTTGTGGTCTGAAGCTTTACTATATATTGCAGGCAGTTGGCCAGTTGCAGACGTTAGGAAGAGTAGGGACCAACAAGGAGAAAGGAAGTCAGCAATAGAGAGAAGATAATAAGAACAAAGAGAAGACTGAAAAGTGCAGACACGGGTGTGTTGTTTTGTATTTGACCTCTACACGTACACAGCACATTACCCAACCAACCACGTTTTTTTTTTTTTTTCCGCCGTTCAAACTTCCGTCTTTCCTCCATTTTCTGGTCTTCCTCCACTGCTACATTGGTACATTCAGTTTCCTTTTCTTTTTTTTTTTTCATTATCACACATTTTTTCCTCTCTTAAACGCAAGCTTCCCTCTGATGTGGTGTTTGATATATGTCAAAAATATTTTTAAAAAATATTTTTATATAAGTCAAAATAAAACTATTCTCATATACTTACTTTTTATATTATAAAATTACTTTTAAAACTATAATTTAATTTCTACCCAAATACCTCACAAGGGAGCTTGCATGTTGAATCCACTTATAATTTTTTAATTTACAAAAAGACTATGGACTTAATTTTCTTTACTTCTCATATTTAATTTTTGTTCTCCTGTTAGAATGAATATTTTAACAATTTTTCTTATTATAACACCAAAGGGGGTTATACCTGCTCTAAAACACGTCTTTGGTTGCTTTTGGCCAATAAATTCTGCAAAGAGAGTTTTTTAATCATTTTCTTATTTTTACACAATACTAATAATAATAAATTTAATTCATTTTTTAATATATGTGAATTAATTAGCTAGATATTACCATATGGACAGGGTATTTGTAATTTAGGCATCCATAAAGCAAAATAAAATGAAAAATAATTTTAAAAGCTAGAGGATAAATTTTTTCGCAAAAACAATCAAAGAAATATAAAAAATATATATTATTATTATAAATCCCTATTCAAGCAATTTTTCAGATATATGGGGGATGAAAAATCAATCACCAATACAATATATTAAAAATACAATGATCTAGACATGGATCATTTTTAAATGCATATCCTCAAATAGCGGGCAATAAGTTGACCACTGACCAGATTTTGAAGATTTCCCAGCATTGCACGTTGGATGTCTGGAAGGGGTGCTAAGCGTCTCTCAAAAGTAATCTTTTAAAAGTATTTTTATGTAAGGTAAAATAAAACTCCCTTCATATACATACTTCATATACAGTAAAATCACTTTAAAGAATTAGTACTAAGAATACGGGCCAATTTCATCTTGCAGAGCTATAGGCTTAAACAAGCCGGTCTTACATTGCTGAAATTTCAGAAATGTCATTGTTTACTAGCTCAGGCCTTAAGCTTATGGCTCAAGGCCAGCCTGCTAGCTTTTAGCTTGTTCAAAGAAAAAAAATGCAATTTTTATATTTCCCACGTTTTATTAAAAAAATTAAAAAAAAATACTAATAAAAGATATAATTATGAATAAAATTAAATCACAGACACAAAATATTATCATATTTAAATTTATCAACATCTAAGAACATCTAAAACATTTATCAACAAAACAATGAGATCCAAAAGTTTCATTAACAGTGCAAATATGCAGTAGACAAATACTATCATCAATTTTTTGAAACTTCATTATTACCATTATTAATTGCTCTTCTTTATAAGTATATTCTTCTTTAATGGCTAGTAATCCGGATGCGTCATTCCTCAGGTGATTATCAAGTTAAGATTGGCTCTAATCATGATCTGGAAGAGCTTTTTAACATCAAGCCCTCCTTAGACCACTCCTTCCATTTATCTTTTTTAAATTTTGTTTCCTGTGGTTTAGTATCCAAGACTACTTTTGATAAGTTAGGAACTTTTCTTTCTTTTCCTATATATGCTTATGAATTGTAACCTCACTTTATTTTATTTATGAATATCATTTTGCTTTGACTCAAAAAAAAATATTAAGTTTTTTTTCTTTTTCATAGAACTTTCACTTTAAACTTTGTAATCTAGTTATTATTTTATTTTTGTTTAAAGAGCTTCAATTCCATTTCTTTTGATGTTTTCAACATTATTTTCCTTGCTAGACCTTTCATCAAATGATCTGTAAGATTTAATTCAGATCTTTTATAATTTATGGAGACTACTCCATTTATTATTACATCCTTCACAGAACTAGATCTCAATCTAATATGTCACAACTTCACATTATAAACTCAAATATTTGACTACCACAATGAATAAGCATTAGTGCAAACTTCATACCATTGTCAAATAATGAAGAAACATAACAAAATCAAAATTATTGTTATGTCAAAGATATACAAACAAATCATGACACATTTTCTATTAAATTTGTCATCGCAAATAAAATATGAATTTTATCTTTATCCCTTCCTGTATTTACCGAGGTCTTATGGACCACGCTTCCTCCACTACTTTTATTATTTCACAAGCATTGGCCATGTTTTTCATATAAACTCATTTATCAAATCCATCTTTTTGACAAGATGATTTCCGAATTGCTCAAGAGGGAATCTTCTTTTTCCTTTTTTAATGTTCCGAGACTCTTTTCAAAGTCTCCTTGTAAAAGAAGAAGTTTGTCTATAATTGATGAGATAATAGTAGATTCTCCCATATGCATATTGTTTTAAAATTTATCAAAACATAGTCAATTTCATGCATAAGTTCTACAATAAAATTTTCACCAATTCCAATTAAAATTAGAAAACAACATAATAATTACTAACCCATTTAATTGACAATAGAATTTTATGATAATTACCAATTTAATAAATTCAAAATCTATTATTCTCCTTTATCATGATTAAAATTGCATGATTTGACATGCAAAACCCACATGATTCAAGGCAAAATAATTGCATCAAACTAGATCATGAATAGAATTCATGAATCTATAAATTATATTCATTTATAAACCATATGAAATAAATAGAGGCAAATCGAAACTTATCTATTTTCTTTGTCATTGACTGTATAAAATTATGCGAGATGACTCTTTTGTAAAGTCTTTGGATCTAACCCCCCATTTCTTCTAGCAAGCAAGATCATACCATCTCATCAAAAAATTCCCTCTTTCAAATATTTCTAACTTCACAAAATTTGTAGTCAACTCTTTCAAAAAAACCATTTGTACTTGCAAAAATTAAGCCTAAAAAATGTTGGCAGGAATGGTTCTCTGAAGAGTACAATAAAAAGATACGAAGAAGAGAGCAGTGCAAGATGTCTTCTTCAAAGCGTGGACAATATTTTTTTTTAGGCTTATTCGCCCCCACTTATTTTTATCTTATAGGGTGCAAGTTGGGTTGACCAACGAATTTCTTTTAGAATACAATAAAAACCCTTGAATATAGATTGTACGTCCAAGTTTTAAACAAAGACAATAATAACCTTTATAAAGTTATAATTTGACTCCATCTTTGTGTGCACTCAAAGACAAAGGTAATAAGTTTGATCTCAGTATGTTTGTGTTTGTGTTCTGTTGTGTCATGTCCAAATAAAGTGATGGTGAGACGTTTATATAGACCATGGAATGATGTTTTGAAGAGATGCTTTTTGGAGTAATATCTCATTAAATAAAAAGTCACAACCATATATTAGTTTATTAACTAATATATTTTAAATAAATAAAAGATAATTAATATGTAACTTTCTACATAACTCTTCATATAAATATATTAATTTATATAAAGACACAACCTATGATATAAATATATTAACTTATATGAAAACACAATCTTTCAAATAAATTTATTAAGATATAACCCTTGGTGTGATGCGTGAAAATTAAAGTTACTTTTTGGATAAAAAGATTATTGTTGTTGTTGGGGGGGGTGAGCATTAATGTAAAAAAAGATTTTTATTGAGATACCATGTTGAACCGAAGCTACTTTTCAGCTTTTTATGGTCATTATGTTGTGGTAATAATCTCATTCCTTCTTTACCAGGGGAAAAAAAAAAAAAAAAATTTTCATTCCTTCTCTGCTTTATTCTCACTTCGACACAGCTGTCAGTCACTTACTGTTAGAAAGAATAGTTGCTCCGCCAAGCATCATATCACTAGGCAATTATTACCAGGCAATAATGAAAATAAAGGTAAAATGATTTTTTAATACGTTTTTATAATATTTTTATTTTAAAATGTAGAATATCTTTTCTAATTATGTTTTTATATTATTTTATATATTTATATTTATATAAGTTATTTTAGTTATTAACTATATCTTTTTTTAGTATTTTAATTTTTTAATAATATGTTAATTCTTTTTTATTTTTATAATACCCATATCCTTTTTAGTCATTTTACATCTAAACTTGCATTTCTATTAATTATTCAAATAAATTTTAACTTGTTAAACTGATTTTTTATAAAAGTCAATCTAAATATAAATCACATTATAGTAATTGACTTTTACCCTAGCTTACATTTGTAAGTTAAATGAAATAAAAGCCACTTTTGTCACTGTTAATCCAAATATACCATTAACATTTCTTACTATTCTCACTTTTTTAGTCATTTTACATTTAAACTTCTTTTCTATTAATCGTTCAAATAATTTCTACTTGTCAAACTAACTTTTTGTAAAGTCAATTCAAATATAATAATTACAGTAATTAATTTTTACTCTAACTTACATTTATAAAAGTTAAATGAAATAAAAGCCACTTTTGTCATTTCTAATCCAAACACATTGTTGACATTTTGGATCGTTCTCACTTTCTTGAATGAGTACTTGTCACTCGCTTGCGTTCCCTTTGAACCAAAGTTTTTAGGGACATTACGCACACTTTGTTTCAGTGATAACAACAATACATTTAAAAATACAAGTTCTGATTATAAGATAATAAGTCTGGAATTAAATTTAACAACATGTTTTTTTATAACAATACACTTTGTTTCAGGTGATAACAACAATACATTGGAAATAACAAGTTCTGATTATAAAATAACAAGTCTGGAATTAAATTCAACAACACCTTTTTTTTTATAACAATTAATTATTTTATACTTTTGGAAAATAAATTATTTATAACTTATAAAAAGTACTTGTAATCTATTAATTTGCTAAAAAATAATTTTTATCTCCAATTTATAATCAGAACTTGAAGTATAATTTTTTTATAGATTAAAATACTTTTTTTTGTTCAAATTTATAAATAAAATTTAGGGAAAATGGCAACACACTTTTTTAATTTTTTTTTTAAAAATTTTAATCTATAATCTATACACTTATATAATCAAACTACTTCTATAATTAATAAATAGTACAATTTATTGTAGATTAAAAATACTTTTTGACTGCTTAAATTTATAAATGAAATTTATCTCTAATTTATAATTAAATACTATTTTATTCTTTAAATATAACAACTATTTTTATATTTAAAGAATGAAATAATATAAAATTTATACTATGATTAATAGATTAAAAATGCCTTATTATAAATACTTTATAATTTATAAGAAGTAGTTTGATTTATAATGAGTTGTATAGATATACAGATTAAAAAGTATTTTTTAGAGAAATAAATATATTAACAATATTTTTTATAAGTTATAAATAATTTATTTTTAAAAGTAAAACATATTAATTGTTATAAAAAAACGTGTTGTTAAATTTTAATCCCGACTTATTATCTTATAATCAGAACTTGTTATTTTTAAATGTATTGTTGTTATCACTTGAAACAAAGTGTATTGTTATAAAAAAAACGTGTTGTTAAATTTTAATCCCAAACGTTATTTTATAATCAGAACTTGTTATTTTTAAATGTATTGTTTTTATTGGCCTGCAACAAAATTTATTGTTATAAAAAAAAAAATATTGTTAATTTTTATTCAGACGTGTTATTTACAATCAGAACTTGTTATTTCCTAATGTATTGTTGTTATCACCTGGAACAAGAGTAAATGGTTAACTTATATTTTTTTTTTGCATCATAATGTTAACAAAAATTTGTTGCTCAATGGTCACTTCCTTATTTTGGGAAGCATTAGGTTGAGGGATCAATCCCCCCAACCTCACTTCTCCACTATTAAAAAAAACAGTTGCAAAAAAAAAAAAACAAGTTCTTATTTCTAAAAGAGTTGCTTTGGTTCGACGTGGCGCTTAAGATAGAAGTTCATTCTAGGCTGCCACTCACCCAGACACATGCTAAATAAAAAAAAAATTAAAGAGGGGTATTTTGGTAATTTGGCCATGATTTCATTTAATTACAATTTGATACCGGGTCCTCATGGTAATTTGGCATATTCAGGTGACCATAGAGTGATTTTGCTAATTCAAGAGTCTTTATTTGTGATCTCCCCTTACATTTACCGCAACAATAATTGAAGCGCACGACACAAAGTTGAGAAATTCATGAGAGGTAACGCGTGTATTCTGACTGAATGTCAAAAAAGCGAAGTCTGATGCGGGGGTGTTTAAAGTAAAAAATACTATAGTTTTAAAAGCGATTTTACAGTATATTAAGTAAGTGGACGAGAAAAATTTTATCTCGACTTACATAAAAATATTTTTTAAAGGTGCTTTTTGAATAAACCAGACAAAATAGCATTTCACATTCGATTATTTTTCCAACCAACAATTTTGTCCTAAAGAAGAACATGACAAGTTAATATTCCCTAGGTGCTATTCTTCCGGTTCTTAATATAGGACTCAATTATTGAGTTGGTTTTGATCCTAAATATAAGACTTATTTATCATATTTATTAATTTTATCTAAATTACCTCTATGTATACTCATTCAACCATAATCAAGTAGAAGAGGAAGATGGGGTATTAAAAAAGACGATTATGATATTTTAGGGAAAACGTGTCACATTTCTTATAATTAACTAACTTACCTAACTTCCTTAATCTAATCAAATTAGTTAAATAGGTCTTATATTAAGGATTAGAGGAGTATATGTGAATGGATACAGTTCTATTTACAAGACATATTTAAAGAACATCTGGAAATTTAATTTTTTTTAATTTTTACCTTCATTAATTACAAATTACTCCTCTAATTTTATTTATAAGTAATTTTTGACATGTTTTATATGAAAAAAACTTAAATTTTATTGACTCTCATTTAAAATTTAACAATTTTTTTAATTTTATCTCTATTTAATATATATTATGCCATGAGAACAAAATCAATTTAATAATAAATAAAGAATAAAATTATATATTCATGTTAAAAATTTCTTTCCTTACCCTATAAATAGAGTTAGAGGATTATATTTTTAAAATAAAATAAAATATATTTTTACTTATTATTATTTTTAATTTATTAAATAAGAAAAATTAAGAACTGAGTTTGGAACCGAATTGCACCAAATAATAGTTGAAGAATTAAGTCACAGCTGAGTTAAAATTTGAAGGATTAAAATGTTAATTTTTTCCAAAAAAAAAAAAACTCAAGCTTTTTACCATCCAAGTTGGCTCCCCACTGGACGGCTGGACCTAGGTGAACTCTTTTTCTGCCGTAGACTAGGCTGCATAACATTGGGCCACTTGGGCCTCTAAGTCCATTTGCTGAAAATTTAAAAGACGATGCGATTGAGTTCCCGCCAAAACAATCCCGCTACCAATAAAATGACCAAAAAAACCTTACTGGCAGAAGTGTCGGAAGAAGCGCTGAGGCTATTTTCTTGCTTATGCTAAAATTCAAACTCAAATTCTGCGGAGTGCAAATCAGGTTCAGCCGTTGAAGGATTCTGGGTTCTAAGTTGACTTGGACTTGGAAATGGAACCGCACGAAAAGGCTATGGCTGATGATTCTGACTCAGCAGCTGGAGGATTCAGACGGCCCAGGCTCTTCATCAAAGAAATGGTCATGAAAAACTTCAAATCTTATGCTGGCGAGCAACGAGTTGGCCCCTTCCACAAGGTTTTGCATCTTTTCACGTCTCCTCCATGTTTAACCTAACTTTTCTTCAACTGGTTCTATGTATATGGAAATTTCGCCGGTGGCCGCAATTTCACGGTGATGAACTTGATCAAAACTAGAATAACACTCCATTTAGGTACATATTAGGTCATGTTGTCAAGTATCCGTTAAAATTTGCATCTTTAGGAATCTAAAGAAGCATCTTTGAGGCTTCCAATTTGGTTGTTCGTATTTGTCCAAAACAGAAAATCGCAGTTTCTCGTAAATTTTATGAGCATAAAAAGGGCTCTGTTTCCACTTCTATAATTTTAACTTGTTTTCCCACTCATCCTGGGTCTTAGAGCTTTTCGGCTGTGGTTGGACCTAATGGGAGTGGAAAAAGCAATGTGATCGATGCCATGCTCTTTGTGTTTGGGAAGCGAGCCAAGCAGGTGTGTATCTGTGACCTTATGATTCATCCTTGTGCTGTAACTTTTACCCATAACGGGAGAAATTAATGAACTGGTCAATCATTTAGAAAATAATTTTTCTTTTCTTATTTTCTTCTATTTTACTCTATCGTATGGGAACTGTATACTTGCAGATGCGACTGAACAAAGTTTCTGAGCTTATCCACAATTCTACAAATTACCAGAATCTGGACAGCGCAGGGGTTTCTGTTCATTTCCAGGAAATTGTTGATTTGGTACATATTTTTATCATGGAATTTTTTTTTTTGGGTTTTTAAATATTCTCTTCCTATTACACTACAGATAAGAAACAACGAGGCACAGCTAAAGTAAACCAATGACTAAATTATTGCGCTTTCAGGATGGTGAAACATATGAGGCTGTTCCAGGGAGTGACTTCACAATCACTAGGGTGGCCTTCCGTGATAACTCATCAAAATATTACATTAATGATCGCCTCAGTAATTTCACTGAAGTTACTAAGAAACTCAAGGGCAAAGGTGTGGACCTTGATAATAATAGGTTCTTGATCCTTCAGGTTAGGATTTTGTTGTATGGCACTTTATTTTTTAGGTATGCTTCTATCCATCTCTCTGGAAGTTGGTGTGCTTGTTTTCAGGGTGAAGTTGAGCAAATTTCACTTATGAAACCAAAAGCTCAAGGACCACATGACGAGGGTTTTCTAGAATATCTCGAAGACATCATTGGGACCAACAAATATGTTGAAAAGATTGATGAATCGTATAAACAGTGAGCACTCTTGGTCTATTTCAATATGCATATAATGTGACTTTCTTGATGATCGCAAAAATTTAGACTTACTTGTGGCTGCTTTTGTATGATTGGATTTTCTGGAATTTCATAGAGATTAAATTTCGTGCAACTTTACTTCTGCTTGTCTTTGTGGTGAAAAGATTTATTTTCTATGCGGACATAGTCTTTAGTTATATTCTAACTTTGAAATCAGGATATCTAATTGCTTCAAAGGATATCTTTGATATTTTAGGTTGGAGCTCCTCAATGAAAGAAGATCGGGAGTGGTACAAATGGTCAAGCTAGCTGAGAAAGAAAGAGATAGTTTGGAGGCATGTATATGACGTGGTCACATTCATTTGTTGTTTGATTTCAGAACAACATTTAACAGTTCTTCCTGGGACAGGATGTGAAGAATGAAGCAGAAGCATACATGCTGAAAGAGTTGTCTCTTCTAAAATGGCAAGAGAAAGCCACACAACTGGCTTATGAAGATAGCTCTGGAAAAATGGAGGGGCTACAAGGAAATATTTCTAGCCTAGAAGAAAATCTCAAGAATGAAAGGTAGTGTAATTTTTGACTCGTAACTTACTAACTTGTGTTTTATGCATTTGTAGTCGAAAATGTGTTTTCTTTATTAAGGACTTGATGTGTGATGCCAGGGGCAAAATCCAAGAAAGTAAACAAACTCTGAAGGAGCTTGAAGCTAAGCACAACAACTATATGAAAAGACAAGAGGTTTGAATGTCTTGGAGATAGTTTATATCAGTTTGCTTGACATGATGTATCACTGGTTATAAGTTTTAATTACTGGGCTTAAGATCGAGCATGTAGGTTATCTTTTGGTCAATTTTTCTTCCATTTTGTTGAGCAGGAGCTAGATAATGATATGAGGAAGTGTAAGGAAGAGTTCAAGGAGTTTGAGAGACAGGATGTTAAGTATCGGGAAGATTATAAGCACATTAATCAAAAGATCAAGAAACTGGCTGAAAAAATTGAAAAGGTAAGAGGGAGTTGTAGTTTACTGCAGCTGATCATATCGGCAAATGGTGCACCTTATTCATTTGTTCTTATTTCAGGATTCATCAAAAATTGAAGCCCTAGTGAAGGAGGGTGAGGAATCAACTAATATGATACCAAAGCTTGAGGATGCTATCCCAAGGCTGCAAAAACTATTACTGGACGAGGAGAAGGTTTTAGAGGAAATCAAAGGAAGTTGTAAAGGTGGAGCCCTGTCGTTTTCTATTCCATGAAATTGGAAGGTTCTTTTGTGTTTTGATCAAACTTTGTTGAAGCAGTAATGCACCAAAATCAGCCCTGCCTTCCGTTATTTTTATCGTATGTGAACACTTCTGATTTGTTGATACTATAGTTCTGTCTTGATTTTGATAGAAGGACGATGGAATCATGGCAACATACTGTTCTGGTTTTTCAGTTTGAATAATCTGTGTATTGTCACAGTATAACTGTTAAGGGCAAAATTTTGGTCTGATCGGATTTGATATAATTTGCTGATTTTGATTCTGATATTGATATATGCAAGCATATGGTTTTGTCATACAATATTAGCCTGCATCATATTGATATAAATTATTTTCTTTGAGCTTTATTTGTGCAGAAGTAGCCTATAAATTTGGTTTTATTTGCTTGTTCAGAATTCCTGAGAATCCTAACAGTCTTCTGCTGTATATTAGATCTATACCTTTTCACTTCAGTCTTTTTGATGGTGAATGGTCTCTGTTCTCTCTTTTATTTATTTATTTCATACCTTTTATATGATTGGATCTGCAATTTTATATGCAGTGGTGGTGTTTGTTTCTAGATTTTTCATTTCTTTCCTTTGCTTTGTTCAAATTTATGGTTATTGATTGGTAAGCAGCTGAAACTGAGAGATACCGCTTGGAGCTTGCCAAAGTTCGGGCCGAGCTAGAGCCATGGGAGAAAGATTTGATCGAGCACAAAGGAAAACTAGAAGTTGCATGTGCAGAGAGCAAGCTTTTGAATGAAAAGGTGTTTCCCCCTTCTTTCATTTAACTAGCCCTTGTAAGAAAGTTCACTACTATGGTGATTTGTTTCCCTTTTGCTTGGAAGAAAGTATCAATGGACATTGACAAAAAAATCAAAGCTCCTTATCCATTTTCTTTAAAAGATTTTTCTATTCGCATTTAAGGAGAAGGCACAAATGATACTGTTCAGAATTTATCATATCTAATAGTAGGTTGAAGGGGTTTTTTTCAATCAGCATGAAGCTGCTCGTGGAGCTTTTGAGAAAAAACCAGATGCAAAATATATTGGAAACAAAGAGTATTGCTCAAGAGTGCATAGAAAAGAACAAGCGTGATTCCTCTCGAACAAGCTGCTAGACAAAAGGTTGCAGAACTGAAGTCTACTATGGATTCTGAGAAGAGTCAAGGATCCGTGTTAAAGGCAATCTTGAAAGCCAAGGAAACCAAACAAATCGAAGGAATTTATGGCCGCATGGGTGATTTAGGTGCTATTGATGGTGAGTTTTTTCAATTGTTCTTCAAGCTTCAGTCCTTTTTTTTCTCCCAGACACTCCTGGTTTTGGAAGGTACTATTCTTGACTTTTAAATTTACAAGACTGATCTGATCTAAGTAATGGTAATAATTTCATGAGGAAGGAGATACATTTATCATATTTTGGCCCTCTTTGTCGCGATGGAACCAGGAGGAAGGGAGTTGAAGTGGAGGTGGAATTAATATTTTAGGCTGTTTGGTATCTCTGATGTAGACTTCCATGGAAGTCCACTTCCATTAAAGTAGTGGTATAAACTTAGGCCAGCCTGTTGGGCCTTGTGGTTTGGTTCTAACTTATTCGGTATGGTCCCATTAAAGTCTTGAGCGGTCTTTCATTAAAAAGAGGACATAATTCAATAACTAGCATTATTCTCCGTGCTAGGCACAGGATCAAACGCAAGCTAGATACCATTCAGAAGTCAATTGGCTTCCTATGACTTCTATATATGAATATGTATAAATGACCTACCCGTTGCTAAATTGGAAAATACGGATGACGACTATAACTCAAGGAAAATGAAATCTGTAGTTGCTCAGTTTTCCTATTAAAAAGTTTATGGTGTTCTATTTTTTATAGGTAAAACATGTTATCAAACTTTTATCTGATCAATGCATGTCAATATATTGACTTCTCATAAACCGATCATTGCAGCAAAATATGATGTTGCAATATCAACAGCATGTGCTGGACTTGATTATATCGTGGTAGAAACGACCAACGCTGCACAAGCATGTGTTGAGCTACTCCGAAGGGAGAATCTTGGTGTTGCAACTTTCATGATATTGGTATTGTCTATGGTTTTTTAGTGGTTTTAGTATATCATGAATAGTATAGATAATATTGTTTTTAAGTTGGGCCCTCAGCTGATCTAGTAGATTTCGTGGTAGAAACGACCAACGCTGCAAAAGCATGTGATGACATACTGCTTGTTTAGACTTGAGACTACTGGCTGTTCAATCTACTCATTATACCTTAAATATCTGTGCAACTAACTTCAAAGTAGCTTAACTTTTCCCCCCAAACTGAATTGAAGATTCAGATATCCGCCTCCCTTCCCCCACCGGAAAAAATTGGAGATTCAGATGTAGATGGTTGTTTTAAACTGACATATTTAATTATCTGAATCTCAGCTCTGGAACTTTTTAGAAGGCCATCTTCAAGAATGTAATACTTAATATTGGTTAATTTATATTTATAAATTTATAAAGGAAAGTCCACTCGTGGGAGCAATTTAATTCTGACTACGGGAACGGAAGCAACTGGTCCACCCTTTTAAATGATACTTTGTTTTAATTGATCTTAGTGTACTCTTGATTGAATACAAAGCCCCAGTGACCAATCATGTCTCAGTTTGTTCTAATGGTTTTGATATACGTTGTTCATTTTTTTTTTTTTTTGGGAAATTCTGATAATACTTGAAAGTGCTTAATATTTTATAATTGTAGAGGACATTATTTTCTTATCCAGGAGAAACAAGTCGATCTTCTTCCAAAGTTAAAACAGAACGTAAGCGCTCCAGAGGGAGTTCCACGCCTCTACGATTTAGTGAAAGTTCAAGATGAGAGAATGAAACTTGCTTTCTTTGCAGCACTAGGGAACACAGTTGTAGCTGATGATCTTGACCAGGTCAGGATCCATTTCTTAATGGAATTTCTCTACTATTATTATCTTTAAATCGTAATGCCTAGTTTCATCCATGAAAATTCGTTCTGCAGGCTTGTTGATATAGAGTCTCTGTTTTAGACTATTGGCTGATGACACATTTTGTTGCTTGGTCCATCTTTGTTGCTCCGAATTTGCTTGCATGTTTATACCATGAAGTTCATTAGCAGAAAAATACAAGGAGATAATAATTATTTCCTGGGGCGTGTTGTTTTGTGCCATGTTCCTGCAGAAGTATATGGCATGGAACTTATGTTTCCCAACATATTTGTAACTATTCTTTTCAGTGAGGGAAAAAAATGAAGTAACATGTTTTTCTCTTTTAATTGTAGGCAACACGTATTGCATATGGTAGAAACAATGATTTTCGCCGAGTTGTTACTCTAGATGGTGCACTTTTTGAAAAATCTGGAACAATGAGTGGTGGAGGCAGTAAGCCACGTGGTGGTAAAATGGGGACAGCAATTCGAGCTAGCAGTGTGTCACCAGAAGCTGTTTCAAATGCTGAGAGGGAATTGTCTGGGATGGCTGATAAATTGAATGCCATTCGCCAAAGGATCCTGGATGCAGGGCGGCGATACCAGGCCTCAGAGAAAGCTGTTACAGCCTTGGAAATGGAGTTGGCTAAAACACAGAAGGAGGTAATGCTTGTTTCACATTCTCAGTAAGGTTACATTACTTGGGGTTGATATAGCACGTTGAGTACTTTTCCCTCAACAGGTTGACAGTTTGCATTCACAACATAGTTATATTGAAAAACAACTTGCTGCTCTTGAGGCTGCCTCACAGCCAAAAAAGGATGAGCGTGACAGATTGGAACAGCTGAAGAAGATTATTTCTACTGAGGAATTGGAAATTAATAAGCTTATTGATGGGTCTAAACAGCTGAAGGAAGAGGTTGGTTGGTTTCTTGTTTATGTTCTTTTGCCTGGCTAGTTTTGCACTTGATTTTATTCTAGTGTGATAGAATCTTGAAATTGGACTCTACTTACTTTCATTCTTGCTTATCCTTCACCTTTTTTTCAAGGCTTTGAAGCTTCAAAGGAATATTGAAAATGCTGGGGGTGAAAGATTGAAGCTACAGAAGTCAAAGGTCGAGAAAATTCAATCAGTAAGCATCTACAACACTGGGAATGATCTTCAGATATATTTGATATATTGCCTGTGCTAATGGCATTCAATTACTAGGATATTGATAAGGATAACTCGGAGATTAACCGCCACAAAGTCCAAATAGAGACAGGACAAAAAATGATTAAAAAGTTGACTAAAGGAATTGAGGAATCTAAGAAGGAGAAAGAACGGCTAGGTGAGGAGAAGGAAAAGTCAAAAGCTACCTTCAAGGAAATAGAACAGAAAGCATTTGTGGTGCAAGATAATTTTAAGAAAACACAAGAGGTTTGCCCTTTTTCCTTTCTTATTGTTATATGAAGTTGACACAATAATATGTAGAGTAAACAATGCAACATATCTTTTCGTGTCATTTGTATATTACTGCCGTACAGATGCTTGAAAAACACACAGAAGTCTTGGATGAAGCAAAATCTGAGTATGATAAGGTGAAGAAAACAGTAGAAGAATTGCGTGCTTCTGAGGTACTTTCTGTTGTGGGTGTTTTCTTTTGATTTCATATTACTGTGTAGCATGGAATTTATCTTGGAAGCAATGATTTCCCAGGTTGACGCTGACTTTAAATTGAAAGACATGAGGAGAGAATATAAGGAGTTGGAAATGAAGGGGAAGGGTTACAAGAAAAGACTTGATGAATTGCAAACAGCTCTTCAAAAGCATCTGGAACAGTATGTCATTTGGTAATTACATGGAATATATAGTCTTGCATTCTCAAGGTTCTGAGATTGTAAATTTGTTGCAGAATTCAGGTTGATTTGGTGGATCATGAAAAGGTTCAGGCTACACTGGCTGAAAATAAGCTTAATGAAGCTTGTGGTCTGAAAAAGGCCCTTGAAATGGTGGCATTGCTGGAAGCACAGATGAAGGAGATGAATCCAAATCTTGATTCGATTTCAGAGTACGAGTTTGCAAGTTTATTAGGATTTTTTTAAAATTATCTTCCCTTCGGAATTTGCATTGATGAACTTACTGTTGATTATCAGATATCGTGAGAAGGTATTGTTATACAATGACCGGGTTGAGGAACTTAATAAAGTCACTCAGGAGCGGGATGATATTAAGAAGCAGTATGATGAATGGAGGAAGAGAAGGTCTTCAAACTCTTTTGTTCTCTGTATTCATTTCATCTCTCCTTTTGTGACAATAATCTGTCAAATTTTCCACTATCACCCCCAAAAAACCAAACTCTGCCTTACGTAAAGTTGCCAGAGTACACTTAACCTTTGCTGAATTTGTTATTTCAGATTGGATGAATTTATGGCAGGATTTAATGCCATATCTTTAAAGTTGAAAGAAATGTATCAGGTTTTGGATCATCTCTCTCTCTCTCTCTCACACACACACGCACGCACGCACCCGCACACGCAGTCACTCACTCGCTCTCACCCTCTCACACATGCATAATGTTCAAACCCCTTCTGATATAAGTATTAATTAAAGATATGCTTGATTTCTCATTTTCCTTAGTTTAAATTGTTGTACTTGCGAATTCTATTACAGTTTGACCCTTATTCCCATCACCTGGCATGATTTGCATGCCTATCTGATTTTGCATTGCTGGCAATATGGTTCTGAATCTAGAGAACTTTTCCATCGAAATGTCTGGTTTAGTTCCTTTTTCAGAATTTTCCAATCAATGCTCCTTCTTTTATTTTGGTTCTTCTTGCTCGTTTATGCCTCATTCAACTGTCTTCCTTTGCATGTTTAATATCATGTGCACACAGCTTGTAGGGTTGTAACAATTAGCTCGTAATTCCTCTTTTGCGTCTTGCAGATGATCACACTTGGAGGTGATGCTGAACTTGAACTTGTGGATTCTTTGGATCCTTTCTCTGAAGGTGTTGTGTTCAGTGTTAGACCGCCAAAGAAAAGCTGGAAGAATATTGCAAATTTATCTGGTGGTGAAAAGGTTAGTTATCAAACTTGTTGGGACTTAAGCTTTGATTTGATTCAAACTTTAAGGATTGCAAATTATGTTATGAGCATGTCTTCTATTTTCTGGGCTAACCTGCAATAGCATGCCGTTTTAAATTCTTTCATTTACTTGCAGACTCTTAGCTCATTGGCGCTTGTTTTTGCTCTTCATCATTATAAGCCTACCCCAGTTTATGTAATGGATGAAATTGATGCTGCTCTGGGTACTTTTTATTAACCTTGTTCAATTCATTAAATGCGTTTTTTTCATTTGCATTATAATTAATTTAATGGGTTGTTTGGTGTGATAGATTTCAAGAACGTATCTATTGTGGGGCATTATGTAAAGGACAGGACTAAGGATGCGCAGTTCATTATCATAAGGTTGGTTGGTTGCCCACCTCAAGGTTCTATTTAGGATATGATTATTGGTGCAGCTGACGATGATTACTGTACTTACCATGTTATGTTTTGCCTTGAACAGTCTCAGGAACAATATGTTTGAGCTGGCAGATCGACTAGTTGGGATTTATAAAACTGATAATTGCACCAAAAGCATTACTATAAATCCAGGAAGTTTTGTATTATGTCAAAAAGCTGCTTGATGGGATTTGTCACTAATTATGTTGTATAGGAGATGCTTCGTTGCCATGGCTCATGTACTGGTTTTGCATAATATTGTATTATTGTTATTTATACAGATAGACGTGCTCTAATTGATGTAACGTATCTATCCATCCATCTTCTACTCTTATATCTATAAAATCTGGTAATACCCGATGTCAAAACAGGTCGGGTTGCTTATTAATAGAATATCTGATTGGCAATTAAATGGCCATCCAGTTGATACTTAATACTACGAAACACTGCTGGTAGAGGGGCAGCATAAACGCCATTAAGGAAAAACCGCAAATGGAGTTTGTCAAACAAATTATTTACAGTAGTCCTTAAAATCTGATTTATATGTAATACACATTAATTGGAAACTAACATTCAACCTATTTATTCTCTACCTCTGTGAATTTAATTATTTTAATGGCATGATAATTGTGGCTGCGCCTTTCACATTCATATATAAGAAAAATTATATTTCCAACAATAAGTATTAGAATATGAATTTTCTTCACAATAGAAGCGGGAAGAATATGATAGAATATTTCTCAGTAGTATCAAACATTTTGATACAGGGGAGAAGATTCTAGTTACTGCTGTAACTGACCTTCATCAGTATGAAAATGCCCCAAAGTATGCAATTTCCACGAGAAAAAACCAGAGACTAGTCTTCTTTATTTACATTTTGGTTTCTCCACAAAACCACCCAAACAAGACAAGTAAAAATACAGCATTCTTTACACACGCGATCCAAAAGAGATGGCAGAGTTCCCTCTTGTAGAAGGATAAACCAGAGGAACAATTGGGTCCCCAGTCATGAAAGAAATCAAGTATGTTACAATCTCCGAGCGAACAGGTCCCAGATCAACAATGAGGGTTCCTTAGTTAGGGCTGATTCAAGAGTTGCTAATGTGTTCAAAGTAGCTAGTAAGGAGATAACAGGAGCAAGTAGCAGCGCGCTCCTAATGTTGCATGTATCATCTTCAGACAAGGGTAGGCCAGAATAGGACCTCTGCTCTCAGTTACAAGAACCTGAAGTCAGATATGAAGAATTTGCAGGCTTAGTTAATGGTCTCAGAAAGCTTTGAGAAACCCAGCTTCTTGAGGCGATTTGTTAGAGGAGTAGCCCAGGCTTTATCTGAGCTGCCACATTTTATGTCCACAACTTCAACAATGTTAGGTATCTTCTTATCATTTTTCTCCCTCATTGGACTTCTGTCCACAAAGCTGTCAAAACCAAGCATGGGTGCTCGATGGCTATGTCTACCATTAGATTTTGTTTTCTGGGGAATTTTGGTGCTTCTGTGGATTCCACTGCTGCTGCTAGCTTCATCAAATGATTTTCTTGGATGTAGTTTTCTAGGAGTAGTATTATTATTACTAGAAAGTGCTCGAGGTTTAGTTCTTGACGTTACCTGCTTGTGTGGTGCAGGAGAGTTCTGCTGCTCCAATTCCCTTGTCATCAAGGAACTGATTGTTCCAATGGTCCCCACCTTAATGGACCCTCCACCTCCCTTGATGCCTTCCAGGGTATCAGTCTGAGCCATGCTTCTGTTTGGCCCAATCAAAGATCTTTGTATTCAAGAGTTTGGGGTAAGTTAATTTCAGCAGAGTTATTCAATGATCTGTTATATATTGCAGGGTCACACAATTGTTTGTGGATCGTAAGATGTAAATGGAGCAAAAAAGTCATAATTTAATCAAAGTTCTTATTAAGAAAGAAACAGATGATAGCAAAGAAGAAGATAAAAGCTGATCATATCGTGCAAGATGAAATAAGCAGAGTAGTTAGATTTAAACCACTAGATAACATAATTCTAGCACTGTGGAGATAAAGGCAGAAAAGAAAATATGAAATCAATTAATTAGAAAGCAGTACACTTAGTTACTACACATTGTTATGCAGCACAAGGAAGCGCATTTTCCACCAATGCCAAAAATGTGATAGAGCAAAAAGACGAAGGATTGTTTAATGCATAAAATGTGCGAACAATCTAAGCTTTTACAGTCCTACATGTACACTAAACATCCTGTGAGATTTATCAACAAATACTATCTTATCCAGCCTCAAAATGATACTCAGTGGCCATGATCTCAACAAAACAAGAGGAACAAATTCGAAGATCAAGATAATTTATTTGGTATGGGAGAAGAATTGCATGCCACGTGCTCAGGAAGGGAATGCCGACTACTATCACTTCCTATGCAACTTAGTAAACATACAAGAAGGAATCAATTAATCTACATAAAAGTAACAAAAAGCAAATATTACGACCAAGCCAAAAGCATTTGCTCAAATAAGCCAATAAGGAATAATGAAGAGGAAGGGAAGGGAATAGAAAATTTCCATAAACCTTGTTCTGGGGAGTTATTAACAACAATCAAGGGTGTTTGCCAAAAAGTTTACTCACAACTTCCCAAAATATTTTGAAGTCCTCTACTCATTACATTTCTAAGCTCAGAGCTCCAAAGAAGGGTAGGGTTACGAATCCCAAATTAGAGGTTCAAATCCCTCATTCAGAGACAAAACAGCCAAATCAAACGCAAGATATTGAAGTGAGTCATGCAATTAATCTAAGATTTCCCAAAATTTATGTAAAATCCGCAGGGAAACCTTGGTAGTTTTAAATGGACTTGGCCCATTAATTAATCTCTGCATATGCTATTATGAAAATCTCAGCCCCATTGACTGATTATAATGCCTGCGGGTTCGAGTACAACATTTGAACATGAGTATGTGGGATCCTCGTGGAAGCATGCGAATAAGCCATTGAAGAATCCAAGTAGAAGAAGGGGCTCACCCAAGAATGGAAGCAACGAAGGATAAAGAGGCTTAGTGTTTGCTTCAACGGAAGCTACTCCAGCAAGTCTAAATCCAGTGGAATCAAGTAAGCCAGAAGCGAAATCGAGCAAAGGTAAGGAACAGATGCGCAGATCTGGGCGAAGCACAGGAGCTGCGGGCTTCATGGGTTAGTGTTACGAGTCTAAAAAAGGTTCCTTCGTGGTGTGATGAGTTTGAGAAAAAGTTACTGGTCATTTTCCCCCTCTTCTCTTTTACCTCCGTCCTTTTTTGCCCCCCGAAAAATTCTGAAAAAAAATCCTAAAAGTATCATGCACCCCTAAAATATTCTAGTATTAGATTTGGAAAAAAAAAGTTATCAAAATATCCTTGTTATTATCAGTATATTGTGTTATTGGCTGATCAATACTTGTTATTACCAGTTCACAATATGTTAATAAATAATTTGTTATTATCAATACATTTTTTATCATTTATTATTCAACACTTGTTATTGTCAGTTTTGAACTTGTTAAAAAACTTTTTCATATAAGAGCATTTTAGTTATTTAATTATATTTACAAAATACCGGATCATGCATCACTTCTTTCTCTATCATTTTCAACTCTTAAATGCTTATTTGAAATATTACCTTTTTCAACTTTTTTATTTGTCATTTTCTCCTTTTTGTTTGCCCAAAAAAATGACACCCTAAGGGGTGTTCAGTATCAAGTAAAATTACTTGAAAAAAATGACTTCACTTAAATTCAAGATAAAACTTTTCTCACGTATTTACTTCGTATACTGTAAAATCAACTATGATTTATATTTCACTCAAATACTCTCTAAGATGTGAAAAAATATGATGGCACTCAAACCTCAATGATACTGGAGGAATTACGCTCTTGGTTGACTGAAAAATCGCCAGACCAAATTGTCCTCATTTGGTATAAAGCATTGTGAGTTATAAATAATTTAACTCATATCTTAAAGCCTATGCGACAGTAAAAGTTTCCAAACTTGTTGGCAAAACAAAAGAGGAAGTTTTAAAACTTGTTCATTATTTTTTGCCAACAAAAAAAAAAGTGGTTTGGGATTAATTAGGTAAAGACATGGTCATATGATATATTTTGATTTGGGTGATGAAATTGCCGTGATATGTTGGTTTATTTAAGAGGGTAGATGTTTGGTGTTTTGGAAGCATTGTTTAAGGAATTACTAGAATCAAAATCATATTCCAAATCAATATCCAATATATCTTTTAAATTTACTCCCTTGTTCCTATAAGATTTCAATGTACTTATTAATTACATATATTAAGAGAGTTTTCATAACAAATAGTTCCAATATAAATAATTAAAAAATATATTTGAAAAAAATCAACACATGTACTTACCAAATAACTAACTAACTTAATTTTTTTAATAGCTGAAAATTAATTATACAGCTCCCATATTATTAATAGGAGGGAGTAATATTTCACTTCGGATGAATGATTCCAAAATTTCTTATAAGTTGCTTTGGTTTGATTTCTGTATTTTCTTGCTTTGCAGGTTCTTTCAAAAATAAACCTGTCATGGAAATTTCCCTACCTTGTAGATTCTGCCTTCTTATAAGCTGCGTATGAGTAACCTTGACCAATGCCTGAACATGACTTCAAGCTCAAGTCTATAGAGACCATTAGAAGGCAATGGTGGCCCCCAGTGCGAGTGATGGGTGACAAATGTTAAGGATTTTTTCAGATCTAATAATGAAGTTTTATGCATAAACTTAGAAAGAGTTAATACAAACTTTGATCCTTTAAATTTACTATTATTTTAGTTTTGACCTTTCAAATTTCAAACTATAAGTTTTGGTCCCTTAAATTTCTTTTCATTTAAAATATCAATCTCTATAATCCAATAAAAACTTAGACTAATTTACCCTTTAAGAGACTAAAACTTATAATTTGAAACTTGAGCTACTAAAACCAAAATGAAGACAAATTTGAAAAACCAAAAATTATATTAACTCATTTAGAAATACAGCTCCATATTTGACATAGAAGTATATTAAAATCATTAGAAGACAATGGCGGCCCCTTCAGTATGTTGACACTTGAAATTCAATTTTCTCCATTAGGATATCCAATGCTATGAACAACAGGAGAGAAGAGGCTTTCAATATCAACAATCAGTATTTTTCATTAAGACATAGCGTAGGAAAAAATGTGGGCTTTTTTCAAGGCTGCATTAAACTTTGTTTGACTAGATCGTGATAAAGATTCGGCCTTAAATGATAATGAAAAGAATAAAGACTATAGAGGCTCACCACACGGCATAACACTAAATGCAATAAGGAATCCATTAAAATGACCTAAGACAAGCAATGCCACTCTTTTTAATGTCTAATAGGCCAGAGAGTGTTACGGATGTACAGAATGAGACAAGTTAGACTTCACCGTTCCCACCAACTTATTAGATAGGAACAGCTTAGAATCCAAGCACTAATCCTCTAAAAAGAAAATGAAGCCCAATGGTTATGTGCAGATCTTCCCCACCTACATACCATACCTAGTTATTCCGTGCAGGTTACCTTGAGCCACATTGATGCCTTGACTTCTCATGGTGGCTTCACTCCAGATTAAGGGGGTTGCTGCCATGGATTCCAAGCTCAGCATCCTCTTGTTTGCCCCACTAATGGGAGATCCTTCCAATGTCAAACCTCCAGGACTTTCGTGTGATGTTAGGCAACTTTCTGTCGAACAGTCAGCCCTTTGGGAATGGAGATTAGGTAATTCCTCTCCGGAAGCATGAACTGCTCCAGTCGTCCCAGTAGATGGTAAGGAGTAAAAGCCAAGAGTGTCAACAAAGGGACCTCTTGGTGCTTTACTTCCATGCCCTTGAAATTTTTGGTTGTCGGTGTCTATAACTGTAGCACCAATAAACTGATCAGCCAGCATCTTGCAAGCTCTTTCGAGCATGGCCATGTATCTTTGCTCTGCATCCTGTCGAATCTGCAAATGCTTCTCCGCCTATAGAGGAATAGATAATTCTAGAAACTAGTAAAAAGTAGGGTATATATACAAATTTCAATAAAAGATTCTTGAACTACAGAACTAGCAAAAGCACGGGCAGCCATGTTATTATCATAGTGTCGCTCCATATACAAAGCAAAGATCTTGTGCCCCATGTGTTTTGCATAGCCTAGGTAAGAAGCCACAACGTCTATGACCTATAGCCTTCAGTAGGTTTGATAAATATATTGATGTGGTCCAAGATTTATTAAACCATACCAGAAACAAATCTTCTAGTAGAAAAAGGAAATTTACCTCCACTTGCAAATGTAGTTCACTTTGTACCTCCATCTGTCGTCTTAAAGCCTCCTTGATTTCATGACTCCTAGAAACAACATAGCATTGCTCACAATCAACTCGCTACTTGTGAAACAAATCATAATCCATCCAGTCTGGTACACAAAACATGGAAAAGAAAGGAACTAATTCTATCTTACTCATTCGTATCAGAAGCTGGCAACTTTGGGGAAGAGTTATCAGTACCAGGGCTTTCTAAAAGATATGAACCTGCTATTTCTTCCACAAATTTTCAATAAGAAGTCAATTTAAGTTATTACTAACCTAAAAAATTTAGCTTAGAGACAGTTCCTCATCAATGTCTATCAGTTTAAACTTAGTAGTAATGTATAATAATGATAGAATCATGAAGGCAATGTTCCAGATCAACCTCTTCTCAATGAGAAGACAAAAGAGAGGAAGAAACACTATTTATCTTGGAAAAGACAGATGGAGCCATAATTGGAAAGAAAGAGGCATGAGAACCATACCATCTTTGCATCCCTCAATCATATCTTTGCCTGATTGCTTGCCGAGTCTGTACTTCTGCAATGCAGCAAAGAACGGTTACAATATAATATTAAAGCATCACGTTCACTAGAAAGCCTAATTGGAGAATAGTATATGACAATAATTCAAGAAAAGACCTGAAGGTGACTCTTCAAATGAAATAAAGTCAAACCCTTTACATTCATGGTCCGCATGATTGCTTTTGGTGTAGCTTCTGCAGACAAAATATCAGGACCCTAGTCAGAAAATGGCAATGGTGATACTCCAAACATGAAAATTCAACTGGAACTAGCCACAAGATTGGGGGAAAAGGGTTTTGGTAGCTATATAGCAAGCAATCAAAGGTTAGATCATCTATAAGATTCAACAGTCCAAAAAAAAAAGGCACGGAAAAAAACTGTCAGCCAAGCACAATATTCAATTTTGAATGCTTGATGGATTTTGCACAATATTTTTTTACTTAAAAATTGCATAATATTACAGGCCATATGGTTTGAGCCGATGATGCAGTGAGTTAATTCCATGCCACCAGAGTGCTGGTACCATCCCATTACCCCTACCCAAACAAAGAGAGTGTGATAACGTCTATTAACTATGCTTGACCAGGAGAGGCTATGTTCATTTACGAATCTCAGGAGAAAATACAGACAGGTGTCAAAGGATGGGCTGTCCACTGTTATCAGTAGGGTGGTTAAATTTAACTTAAAACTCAATCACCATCCTAACTGTGCACAAGTCTTTGCTCCATAATTATCAATTTGTTGAAACAATTAAGATTTTCAACTGTAATAGGAAAATTGTAATAATCACTGGAAAAAAGTTTAAATATGCTCTGAATGAGAAAACATGTCAAGTATCATAATATTTCTGAAGGCATTTGATCTCTCACATTTCTTTTGATCGAGGAAGTTATTTATCGTTAATTTGGGCCCTTCTCTTCAATCAAACCCGGATCAAAATCCCACCATAAACAGGAAAAGGATTAAAATCTCTTTAAGTATTCAGCTTTCTAAACCAGTTCATCTCCATTGCCCTTGAGCTCTTACAATTCAGCATTTCTTTTGGTGCATACAGTTCAGCATATTGCTAATGCCATAGCAAGATAAACAATTCAATGACCAATTTCGACGTGAGAGAGAATATGAGAAAACCAAAAGAAACTGAGAGCTATGGGAGGAAACCAAAATGTTTCCCTTTTTGCTTATTATGGATTATACACATGATCAGCTAACTTCTATCCAACCTTTTGCTAAGAAGTTCAAGTTGCAAATAAAAAATGGAAATTAAAAAAAGGTTAAACCATCTAACCACCATCTAAGTTCGTGGATGTACACAAAAAAATAACCCCCAAAACCAAGGGAAAATATACCAAACAAGGCTTTTTAGCGTTCAGAATTCTACAAAGCCAGAAGGTTGCGAACTAGCAGGATCATTAAATTAAGGTAGTAAACATTAAAATTAAGATCTAAAAGGCACAACTTCATTTCTGAGTTTAACGCATCAATTTCCTCATTCATCAACATGATAATTAACTACACCAAATGCTTCTTTAAATCAAACGGTTCCAAGCATTGCCTAGCAGTGCAAGAAATTTAAATTATTAAAACTTGTTAATACCTAGGGCAAAAGGAAAGCTGGAAATGTTTATAATGGAGAAGCATTGAGCAAATGCTATTCAGTCAATGGCACACCAGTTCTGGTTAGTTATAACTTGTTATGTTCCCTTGTGAATAACTTTTAGGATGTGTTTGGTTCAACTGAGGGAAAAAGAGGGGAGGAATTTTAATAAAAGGGAAGGGAGTCAAGGGGAGAGGAGGGATTTTAATAGAGATTTTAATAGAGGGGAGGGAATACGAGGGATTTTAATGTTATCTTGTTTGGTTCAAAAGGGGAGGGGAGGAAAACAATTTTTACTTGGACAAGTTTATCCAAAAAACCCCACTTTCACACTATATTTGGTACGGGGTTTTTGGAAGGGAGGGGAGGGAAGTTGCTCCCCTACTCTTGTTTGGCTTGTGCAATTTTTTAGGAAGGGAGGGGAGCAACTCCCCTCCCCTTGTTTGGTTAAGATATTTTTTAAAGATGGGAGGGACTCTTCTCCCCTCCTCTTCCCTTCTAGCCTCTTCTCCAAAAGTAAGGTTTTTTGGAAGGAAGATGAGAGATAAAATTTTAAATTTCAAAATTAGCCTAACTAAAATATTTTAATTCCTCATATACCCTTTTGATTTGTTAATCCCTAATTAGTCATAAACATTTCTCCATAAGAGAGTTCTTTTCAACACCTAACAGGAGGCTATTGAGATAATTGTCTCCAAAATTAGTGAGCATTTGTGAATCTTATTTTTTTTTCCCCCTCTTCTTCTAATTCCAAGAGACCATCGGTATTTTCTTTCACCTTCAAGGTCTTTTCTCTGATTGAAATCTATCACTCACGACTTTTTATCTTGATATCCTCCCCTTTCCTCCCCTCCCCTTCTCTTGATTAAAATCCATCCCATCCCCTCCCCTCCCCTTTCTTCTGTCGAGTCAAACACAGCATTAAAACACAGCATTAGAGAGAAGAAGGAGGAGGGGAGGGGAGCAGAAAAAGACAAAAATTTTGCTCCCCCTCCCTTCCCCTCCTTCCTACCAAACACACTATCATTCTCTCTTTCCCTTCCCTTCCGTCCCCTCCCATCAAAAAACCCCCAACCAAACAATACCCCAGTCAAACAGTCCTTTACTCGTTTTAAGTTCTTGGGTCGCCAGGAGAAAGATGTCCCAGTCAAGACATCTGTGCGTTAGGCTCTAGGATATCTAGGTATCTTGTATCTCTGACTTAGATGCCAGTATTTGGTAAGTATTGCAGATTCAATAAAGCATAAGATGCCTCCATTTTCACAAGCATTTAACACCACCACCCCAGCCCCCCCCCCCCCCCAAAAAAAAGGGCTTCTCACAGTCTAAATCTTCAGTTATGCCAACTTGCAGAATATCAATTGGATCCATTATGTACGGACTTCAAATTCTCAAACCAAACATGAGAATCTTATACCCCATCAAACTCCGCAGTGATATTAAGATTATAAATTTTGTAATCGATTTAAGAATTCACTGATTTATGAAGTTACTTAAACAAGACAGGTTTCTATTTAAATTGTCATCCAAAAAGTTAAATAAAAAAGTTGCTAATCTCATCATAAATTCATCTTCATCAACTTGTCGCTGTCCCCCAACAGGGCAGAGCACAAACACATCAGCTTCCCTATAAGAAAGACCAATTATTGCAAAGGGCGGGTTATCCTCCATAACTAAAGAAAAATTCTCTTTTCTTTGCTCTTCAAATAGTTTTTACACAGCAAGCTAATCAGAGAAACTCAATTTCTTTCACCCATCAAATGGGTGCAGCACAGTCTGCTCATTTGGTTCCAAGGAAAAGCAATTGGGCATATAATACAAATAAAAAGTTCAATATTTTTGGGCCAAAGAACACAAGTTAGAGAGATACCAAAGAAAGAGCCAAGACTAGGAGTCAAAGAAAGAACTACTTACTGCTAGCACCCCCAAGCTGAGTAACAGCATCGACGAATCGTTCATGGAGGTCCTGGGTCCAACGCAGACGTGGTTTGGGATCGGCGGTCAACACCAGACATGGGTCTCCGTTGTTGTTGTGACCGTGGTTGGACCCACCCTGCATGTCTTCCTGACCAACCATCCCTTCGTGCGAGTGAATCAGCCTGGGATACATCTTTCTTCTTCGTCTTCTTCAATGGTGAAATATGAAAACCGCACCACTGAAGTTGTTCCTCCAAGAAACCCAATGGCCAATTACGAGAGGAACAAGACTCGGAGCAGAGAGAAGTTACCCATCACCCATTTTTCCTAAAAGAGAAAGAAAACAAGTTAAAAAACCAAAGCCGGGGTAAATTAGCCAACAGGTTGGTGGGTGGGACAGTGAAAAGCTCTGCCTCTCTCTAGGCAAAAATGTGAAGCAAAGATGATTGAGCACCGTACCATCGGAACTGGAGCTGGCACGCTTTTCTCAGATGTTGTCGCTTTCAAGTTTTTTTTTGGCCCTTTTAAATGCTCCTCTCCTCTTAAAAGGTTTAAAAAATAATTATAAAGACAGAATAATATATTTATATTAAAAATTTAATAAAATAACTTATAAAAAAAATTAAAAAAATTTCTTTAATCAGGGGAGTATATAAGTAAAAACAAAAAACAAAAATACTCTTAAGAATGCTAAATAATAAATTAGGATGAATGAATGTTAAAATCTTTAATAAAGCCTTACATTATTTTGAAATTTTTAAATATTGTGAAATTATGTTATTACCCCTGCACACATAGTGACTTTTCTTTTTTGAGTGAAGATTATTCTATATTTATTATTAACTATTACCTTTGATCCTAAATATAAAAGTTAATTTGTAGTGTAAAGTATATCATAGATTAGCTCCTATACTTAAGATTGAATGTAGCACTCTTGTTTTCAATGTGTTAATGACTATTTTTATATAACTATTGACTATATAAAAATAGTAAATAGCTAAATAAAAGTAATTATTAAATCTCTAACAACATCAACACATTTTTTGAATTTTTAAAATAAAAGTAGGCAATAACAAAATTAGAATAGTCAATAGCTAAATAACAATGATTACTAAATTTTTGAAAACAAAAGTAATTAATCGCGAAATTAGAATAGTGAATGGCTAAATAAGAGTAGTCTTTAGAACTTTAAAACAAATATAGTCAATAGTTAAATAAGAGTAATTAATATGTAAATAAGAATAGTCAATGAAACTCTAGCAATATATTGTTGGAACTCTGGTGACTAGTTGTCAGAGAGGTTACTGACACTGAAACTCTGGTAACTAACTTCCAACCATAGATGCTAAGATGACATTCTTTGAAAAAAAAAAAGAGTTAAAAAATGAAGGACATTTGCTTATTTTGCAAGATTTAAAAATTTTAAAATAATATAAGGAATTTGATTTGAGATTTTAAAATTTATCTATCCTTATTTGTCATTTGAGTAATTTCTGGAATATTTTATTGTCTTTCTCCCTTAGTTTAATACTATGTAAAACATTTCATATTTATTTATTTTAACTAGTATTTTTAGCCTAAGAAAGATGGTTGAACTTCGTATTATAGATTGAAGGAGTTCAATTCTCAATCTTATATAGTAGTATTAAGCACTCTCTAGTAAACCTTAAATATTTTTTTTTCATATATATATATTTGTGTTGAAAATTGCGAAATAAGGATGGTAAGAGAGTTTGTAAATTTTTTGGCAAAAAAAAGAGGTTTTATAAATTAATGACATTGTAAGGATAACGTTAGAAACTAATTTAATTTTATGATGACATTAATAATTTAATTAGCTTATAAATATTTTTGTTAAGTTGCGTAAGTTAGTTGAAAATAACTTATATTTAAAATTAGAGAGAGTAGTATTTTTTTAGGAAACTATGAGCATATTTAAAAAGTTATGGGATGGCATAGGCGGGAAAAAGTTAAAAAAAAGCCCTCCTCCCATATGCAAGAGTGGAGATATTTGCTTAAATGATAGGAATTTCCAATTCTCAAACCCATAACGTTTTTTTATTAAGTTCCCTAAAAGTTTTCAAGAAAACTACAATCTATTTATTATGTTCATGTAAAATTTGAAAAATAATTGTCATTTTTATACACATATTTCTATTCACTTTTTTCCACCCTTATTGGGCATATGAAGGGAAAACAATGTTATTTTGAAAAGTATACTTTTTTTCCAACACTAGAAAGTAGAAAGTATACTCTCAATCTTCAAAAGGTTACTTGTTAATTCCATGTTTATTATCATTTTGTGTGGAAATTTAATCAATTTTTAGTATAATAAAAATGCATTACCAAAAAAAAAGGAGAGTTCTGAAAGATATCATTTATGTACTAATTAATGATGCTTTAAATTCCTTCAAACTGGTTATGCCTAGTTTAAATGATAAAATATTTGTTTGAGTTTTTTATTTGAAAACAATTTTTTATTTTTAAAAAATGTATTTGGTAATTTATTTTTAGTTGGTTGTTTTTTTAAAAATTAATAATATGTTTTTTTGGTAACAAATAGTTATATGTTTTTAAGACCTAAAAAACCAGAACAATTTTTAGATGTTTTCTTGTTTTTGTTTTTGTTTTTGTTTTTGTTTTTTATATTTTGTTTTGGAAAATTAGAGAAACATTATTTTTTTTATCTGCTGCCCCCACGTATCACTGCCAAGGATGACTGCCGGTTGCCAATGTGGTTTTTTTATATTTTTTGTTTTAAATGTGATTTTTAAAATAACTATCTAAATTTTTTTTTTTGTATTCTCAAAACTTGTTTTAAAAAACAATTTTATAAAGTTGTTTTGGAACAAGAGAACAAAAAACAGAAACAAACAAGTTCTAAATAACTATGACCAACACTACTCTCTTTTTATTTATAAGTCATTTGTATTTCAAACCTACAAATCAAAAAAATACATTAAATTGATAATTTTTTCCACATTTGCTCTCATTAAAGAAAGGGTATTAAAAATGTTTTTATATTTTACTTTACTTTATTTCTCTCTACAGTCTACATTTATTAAGTCAATGCGTAAAATGGGAAAATGGTTCAATAATTACTTTATAAATGGCTTATATTTAAGAACAAACTTTTTTCATACAAGTAAATTATTAATAAGAACAAGGTGATAAGTCTTGTCCTAACTAAGATTTAGTATATAATGCAATTTACATTACAAATTAAATTTTATATTTAGAACTGGAGGTAGTATATGTTTATATGAGATCCTAAATATCAAATCGTTCTACATAGAAAAAACATCAAATTGTTGAAAGAGCATATATTTTCAATATTAATCCTAGTCTTTAGAATTAGAAAGAGTTTGGAATTGTTAACTCAGAGTATTTGCTTTTGGCCTTTTTTTCCATTCAACTCGTTTTCATTTTTACGCAAATCATATGCTTATTGTTTACAACTAATTATAGCCTCTTTTTGACAAGAAAATAAAATATAGCCTCTTTGACCTTTGTTCACCTAATCATGTTTTTTTTCCCCGTTCCCTCATCTTATTTAATAACGGGTGGGTCTGATCCAGCTCAACCACACATGTTCTGTTTATTAAAAGTTATTTAGAATGCAGGATAGTTAGCATGTGGCCGTTGCAATCATAGTACCTTTAGTCAACAACGGTGTGCTGTTAAATATACATTGTAGGTTATCATTAGAAATCATCCCTGAATGTATTATCAACACCATGTTTATATGTGAAAGACTAGATGGTAATTGCTATGCTTTACATATAAGCATGTTGGATCATACCAAGTACCTCCTTTGAAGCTTTGCTGGGAGATAATATGAGGGGGAGAAGAAAAGAGTCACAACATATATATTTTATGATATATATCCTCCCATAGAAGGCAATATTACTCCTTACAACAATTCACACTATTGAACACTAAATATAAACATCTTTTCGTGTAAAAATTCAAATCTTAATCCGTTATGCTATGTAAATTTATATTATATGTAGATAAATAATTAAACTCAGTCATTTTGGGCCAAGCCCAAAACCTTGGCTTAGCGGGCAAAAACGAAACATTAGTAATTACAAAAAATGGTTACAGGCCTTGGGGGGGGGGGGGGAAGAGCTCCATGAACGCTGTGATTTCTTTTTTCAGGGCTGCTCTTATCTTTTCAGAGGAAATACAATTTGTAATTTCATTTTTCACAAAAGTTCTTGCTTCTCAAAGGGGCGGACACATTCGAATAAGTGACCCCATTGAGAATGGATATTCAAACACACTGACAGAAAGTAGTTGAAGAATTGGGTGGGGGAGGAATCTGACTCAAGCATTCTGTGAGTATAATCCAACAACAAAGTGCATCTTTTACGCAGTAGAATTTATCTGATGAATTAGCTGATTGGAGTAGAGTTATCAACAAATCAATGTCACTCTTTTGTAAATCATCGTTGCTCTTTTGTATCTAACATCTTATGACACTGGGCAACTACAATAAACGTACTGATTTGAGAGGCCTGTACAAAAAGCTGGAAATTTTGCCAGTGAACTCAGATGTCCCATCTCTTTTTCACCCGAAACATTAAAGCTGAAGATTTTATGTCATCTTGAGGCACTTGAAGCATGAACTGAACTTTCATCTTCATAGGAGCCGTTTTAGCCTTTCCACCTTCATCCCCAACCTGAATGGAGTTAAGAAGTCCCATTAGATACTGTTAGAAACTAATTACAATTGTCATTATATTATGTGATTGTCTCGGGTCTGTACAGCTGTAGAATCTGGTCCCCACCCACTTTACACGCGTCTGTCATTTGTAAATTCTGTTATATCTTTGTAATTACTGTTGCGTAAAGTATCTCTTAACATATACGCGCACACGCGAAAGGTCTGAGCACCGTTTAGGGTGCCCTAGAATATTCATTCAGAATTCCTATCCTATTTCTAAGTGATACTAAGCTGAAAGCTCACATTTTTTGTGACTCAATTATACAGATCAGTTTCTCATGTCTTTCAGTCAATTTGGCCCTGGCTGAGACCCAAACATGGAGCCATCAGCTCCGGAGCCAGCTCCAGTACCAATGAGCCAAAGTTAGAAGTTGCCATATTTTTATCAAACAGTTAGGGCAACGTTGGTGATAGTCACGGTACCTAAAAGGTGGAGGGGAAAAGAAGCACATACCCAAAGAGAAGCCCAGCCAAGGCGAACCTCTGAATCATAGCCAGCCTTAAATTTGAAGTCTTTGCCATAAGTGCGCTTGTAGACCGCACTCCAGAAGTTCGAATCAAAATTGTACCAGTAACTATCCAGAAAACATGTTAACAAGTTAATGAGGAGCAAACCTTTTTTAGGTGAAAATGAGGAGCAAACTTTAAATAATTATAAAATAA